AACAGGGCTCCTATCGATCGCTCTTTCCTCTTTCCTCCTCGAGCTCCTCGTCGCCATCTTCCGGCATCCAGAGCGGAGATGGAGGAGGTGGGGGCCCGCAGATGGCACCGGCAACGCCGGTGCATCGGTGACGCCTGTGCCACTCCTGGGGCTCCCAATGCCGGTGGATAATGACACTGTCACATTTGCCGACTGTTCGCGCCCTGTGGGCGGCAGGCACAGCCGGCGTCTTGCAAGAAGCGCACCGTGCGTGTTCGACCAGTGGGTGCAGATTCCAACTCGGTCTTGGTCGTCTCCCTCATTGAGAGAAGAACATGCTGTGTTGACTCTTGTGATATCCAGCTGCCTGCGGTAAGTCCCGCCACCGTGCCAGTCCAGCAACTTCGGTGGCAACTGTTCGGGGGGCGCACAGTCCGTAGCGTGTGACACCTTGTGTCTGGAGACTTGGGGGAGCCGTAGCACGTGACACACTCGACCGCGTAGTGTCGGGGTTCTCTTCTCGTCTTCGTCGTCTTCCTTCCTTTCTTCCGCCCTTTCTTAGGTTCCTGCGGGCCGTCATAGGGGGGTCCTTGTGCCACTTTGAACAGTCTCTGGGCTCTCTTGGGCCGTCTTGGGCTCTCTGGGGGCGTCCTTGCACCTTCTGGCCGTCTGAGGGATCTCTTGTGTCCGTCGTGGGGCCGCCTTGGGCCAGCGATGGAGCTCTCTATGGAAAAGGCCTTTGTGTGTGTGTGTGTGTGTGTTTGTGTGTGAGTGTGTTTGCGTGTGTGATTGTGTGTGTGTGTCCCTCTGGAGGCCCTCTTATGCCAGCTTGGGGCTCTCTTAAGGCCGTCCTGGGCCGTCTAGTGGCCTTTTCGTTGGGATGTCTTGAGGCCACCTTGGAGGATCATTGGGCCGTTCGAGGGCCCTCTTGGGCCTTCTCGGATCCATGTTGGAAGCATCCAGGGCCGTCGGGAGGTGAAGAAAGCCAGAACAGATGAAGAGGCCCAAATCTTTCAAACACCCATAGATCAGATTGAGGGGGCCGAACGGTCATTCATTGTCCTTGTGTGCGTGGCTGAAATGCGGATCCGTGGTGAGGATGTTGCTTGTTGTTGTTGTCGTCGTCCGGCCCGCGACCCACCCGCGACCCACATCGCGACCCACCTTGCGACCCAACCGCGACCCACCCGCGATCCACCCCGCGACCCGCTCGCGACCCACCCGCGACCCAACCGCGACCCACCCTCGACCCACCTGGGACCCACCCGCGACCCGGCCCGCGATCTACGCGCGACCCACCGTCGACCCACCTGCGACCCACCTGCGACCCAACCCGCGACCCACCTACATTGTTTTAACAAAAAATCGGCGCCTGCGGCGGGCTTGTTTTATAGCTTCAAAGCCTCGCAGACTGCCGACATCCCTGCCGCCCCCTCACTCTTACCCGCAACTGCGGGGTGCTACGTATAAGTTTCTTCGGGCCCTACTGGGGGTCCTCTTGAGGCCCTCTTGGGCCGTGTTGGGGACCCCGGGGACCTATTGTTTTGTCTTGAGCCCATCTGGGGCCGTTTAGGTCCCTCTTCTGCCATCTTGGAGGCATCTTGGGCCATCTTGGCGGCCTTGATTGCCTGCCGCCCCCGTCTTGAGACCTCGGGAGCGCGGGTTCATTTTGTTCAACTAGCGATCGTGGCCCCGGGAGCGCGGACCCATCTTGTTGTACGGGGGTTCGTGGCCTCGTAAGCGCGGGTCCATCGCTCTGCATGAGGGATCGTGGCCGTGGGCGAGGACATCGTTTTTCACAAGAGATCGTGGCCGCGGGAGCGCGGACCCATAGTTGCCTACGGCAGACGGGCGGTTGGGATGCATGCCCCTGAGCGCTAGAGCGGGGGGGGGTCCTCTAGAAGACTTGCAGAAACCCCATCCCCCCTGCATTCGACCATGCTTCAACGTGCCAGGGGGCACGGTGGCGGATGCAACTCGCCCTCGTCCTCCCTCTCCACCTCCGCCTCGCCTCTGCCAGGCGGCGCCACCGACCCGGGCCACCCTGACGCCGCCCGCTGTCATCTCGCACTCGCCAGGAGCTCGGACGCGTCGGCTGGGCTAGGCCAGGCCGAACGGAAGCCATTGAGCACGTGACCTCGCTGACTGCCATTCGCCCCCACGACCACGGGGGGCTGCCGACCCCATGAGTTTTACGGTGGGTCCGTGTCGTGTCGAAACGGCGACGACCCTAGCCAGCGCGGGCGTTCAAGGTTGAACGCCCACGCTGGCCTGGAATCAGTCGACATTGAACGATCCTGCGCTATGAGCGAGCCGCGATCGCACAAGGTTGGACGACCCACTCGATCTCCATTCGCAGGTTTGTCTTTGTTGAGAGGCGCTGAGGGAAGTTGGAGGCAAGCCAGCATGGACAAGCGGCTGTGGCATCGCCAAATACACCCGAAGGCAAGACTATCAACAGCAAGCTGCATGAACGGCGAATGCAAGCGGGGAGACGAACGTGCTTTCGCATTGACAAACAAGAATGGCCAGCAATTCAATACAAAACGCAGTTTAATGCCAAGGCGAGACACATGCAAATTCAAGACCATGAAATGCGCATTCAAACGATTATCACGAAAGCAATGTTCGAGCTGTACTCATCATACCTGCCAATCACCTGCTGAACATCAGCGAGCGGGAAAGAATCTACAATACATGCAGGGACAAAGCCAAACATGAGCTGCACGTCAACCTGAGTCCCTCTGCAAGGCAATTTCAGGTTGAGCTCAACAATGAAGCTCGCCGAACATCGCATGTTACACAACAAACGTGCACATCTGAAGCAACATATGCGATCTGAAGACAGGCTGAAGTCAACACAATCTGCGAGTCACAATGCAAACAATAGTTCCGAAACGTGAGCTGAAGCAAAACAGTGGCAAGTCATCTTGGAATGAATCGTAGAAATGCTAGCCGAACCTGGCAAGCTAGAGGCTGGGCACATACAAGTCGAAAGCAAGAAGAGGCGAGCTACACGCAATCTACATGCAAACCCAGATAATAGGCAAGCCGCAGTCAGGCATGAACCGGAGAAGCGAGACGCACGCGAAACAGCATCCAGCAGGATCTCGCAGGGTTTCCCCAGGATTTGGGGGGAGGGTACCGTGTCCTGACCAGGACTGAGAAGGAGGAGGAAGCGAATGGGAAGCTCGAGGGAGGTAGGAAGAGTGATTTGGGAGGAGGCGGTGGACGCCGAATGGCCCGCCTCATAGTGCCCGCTGGGGTGCCCAGTAATCGCGTCTCCGCTGCGCCCTTACAGCCGCGCTGGCCGCATGCCTTGCCCTGAGACTCTTGGCGCGCTCACAGAGATGCGAGATCTGGATGTTGTCAAAACAGGCACCCCCCCCGACCCTTTCCTGAGGGTAGGCTTCTCTTCTCCAGTTGCAGTTCTTAACGGCCCAGGGGCCCAGCAAGGGCTTTGGTGCCCGAAAACGGTGAGACACTTCCGTGCTGATTTTGTTGAATGCGTTGGATGTCTGGGCGTTTGCCATGGAGTTGCGGTCTGCCAGACGAGGATCGGGGATTAATCTTTGTGGACGTCTTCTGATGTTTCCTGGCCTCATGGAGGCTTTCGAAGACCCGCGGAGACAGGAGACCTGCCCTGCGGAGACTCCCGGCGGCATTTAGGCTCGTGCTGGTGCTAGTCTCGCCTATGTGACAGGGTGGGAGCGATAGTCCTGTATCGTTTAACCGATCTCTATCCCCATCCCGATCCCCACTACCCCACCACCTCAGTTGGGGATATGCCCCTCGAAACCCGAAGGGAACAGTCTATATCCCGTGTTGGGGGGTAAATCGGCCAGTGCGGCCCAGACCACGCCGGTGAGAATAGGGATTGGTAAACAATGCCCAATGGCTTTTCGAGCGTTGACGGCGAATCGAGTCCAGGCCTCCTAAATCGGGCTGGAGCCTGCTCTTCTCCATCCCGCCGTCGCCGATGCCTCGGTAGCGCGGCGTGGTCCCCCCGACCCCAGTGTGCTCTGGCCCCACTTCGGAGCCTCCAAGCTTCCCGAGGTATGAGAAGACCTATGCCCCAGACCCCTGACGTCGAGGTTTTCTCGCAACGGGAGCCCTCATGAGGTTGCCCCGACCCCTTCGGGGACCGGCCCTTCATCCTGAGCTTTACTGTCGTGGGTCACCGTGGGGGCCCCTGGAAACAGAAAGCGGCCGAACACCCTCAGGATCGGAGGCGGGTAAGCGGACGAGGAGAAGGAGGGAGGAGGGAGGAGGGATAAAATACGAGGGAGGAGGCAGGAGGGAGTTGGGAGAAGGGAGTTGGGAGGAGGGAGGAGGGAGGAGCGCGAGGAGGGAGGAGGGAGGGGGAGGAGGAAGAGCGCGAGGAGGCGAGGAGGGAGGAGGGAGGGAGGAGGGAGGAGGAGGGAGGAGGGAGGAGGGAGGAGGAGAGGAGGGAGGAGGAGGAGGAGGAGGAGGAGGAGGAGGAGGTGGAGGAGGAGGAGGAGGAGGAGGGGGAGGGGGGGGAGAAGCAGGAGGAGGGAGAGGAGGAGGAGCAGGATGAGGAGGACGAGGAGGAGGACGAGGAGGAGGAGGGAGGAGGAGGAGGAGGAGGAGGAGGAGGAGGGAGGAGGAGGAGGAGGATAAGGAGGAGGAAGAGCGTCCGACTTTTCCAGAGGGTGTGCTCGGACTAGAGCTTGGACGGGCGGCCCGGACAGAGACCCAGAAGCCAGGAGCCTCGTCCCTCCGATCCTGCCTTATCGAGGACGCTTGCGGCGAAACTCCGCGGCCCCCTGCCTTTTGGAAGCGCCTGTGTGGCCGAACGTTGTGAAAAGAGCTCGGCCAAGCGATCGTATCACCGTACCGTGTGTTTGCTCCTGCCGTTGTGGAGAAACTTCGGGGAGCACGTGGGGGAGAAAGTAGAAGGAGAGGAAGGAAGATCTCTTCGGGCTTTCCTGGAGGCTATCGGAGGCCTCATGGGGGCCTCTCGGGCCGTCTTGGGCCATCTCTGGGCCTTCTCCTGGCCGTCTTGGAGCGGGAAGGCCTATCATCTGGAAAGTTTACTATTTCTTATGAGGTGCCTTGGAGGCCATCTCGGGGCCATCTTGAGCGGGAAGACCGATGAACTGGGAAGTTTACAGGTGCTTCTGGGTGGCAGGCTGGATCGGCGAAAGGGCTGCTGGGATTTTTTGCAAAAAGATTTCAACATACTATGTTGGATGGGAAAAATCGGGGAGGGTTGTCCGGGTGGGGGTTGTCCAGGGGGGGGTCCGGTTCTTCGCGGGGTTGCCCAAGAGTTTGTCCTGGCCGTGCTGGTTTGCCAGCGCACGCACATGCCTTAATCATCCATATCATCAGAAGCATGGCACAGCCAGTCAAACCCAGCTGGAAAGGGCGCCTCTCTCCTCCTTCCCCTCTTGTTCGTTCCTCCTCTCTCGCGTCCACCCGCTCCCGCTCGCACATCCTCATGAATCGTTGTTCTCCACGCCGCGTGGCTCGCTGGAGTCTTGCAGTTCTACAAGATAGTTCCAGCCGCGGGACCAGCGATCAGAAAATGAGGAGGTTGTCTTGTCACTTTCGCTAGAGACATCCTCGTAACGCTGGGCTCACGCATGCCCAGATCTGAGGTGTTCCTGCCAGTTTCGCCTGCGATGTCCGTTCTCGCAGCATTGGTTTCAGAGATGCCCTGATGTCAGGCGGTCCGAGAGAAGAGAGCCACCGGCAACCCCCAATACAAGGAAAAGGCCTTTCCCCCGCACGTCGGATTCTCGAGCAACTGGGTTGTCCAGGGGTTGTCCAGGCACAATCCTACCCAAGCCCTCTCTTGAGCCTCCTCATTCTTCAGCCTTCAGCTTTCTCCTCATTCCTCAGCGTCCAGCCACTTTCCTCTGCGACATCCTCGCAACTCTGAGCTCGGGGATGCCATGTCCTGACCTGAGGTTTTCCAGCCACTTTCGCCTGAGACATCCTCGAAACTATGGTCTTGAGATGCTGCGCGCGAGGTTGTCCAGCCAGTCTTGAATGAGACAGCCTCGGAACTCTGTGCACAAAGATGCCCTGACCCAAGGATGAGCAGATGCAGGACTCCCACGGAATCGGGGTGCAGGTGCCGAATGGTGCTGTCGTTGGAGCGCCGGTCATATCCCTGAACGGGAGTGTTGCTGTCGCCTGAGCGGTGAGTACACTCTCGATTGGGAAGCGAGCTGTCGCCCGAGCATTGGATGTTGCTCTCGCCTGAGCGCCAGCCACATCCCTTATTGAAGAAGGTGCTCTCTCAAGACCGCCAGCCACATCCCTGGTAGGGAACGGTGCTCGCGCTCAAGCGTTGGCCACACTTCCATGCTGGGGCACTTGAGGTCTCCATCTCGGAGGGGTTGTCCAGGTTGTCCGGGGAGTTGTCCCGGATTTTGTGTTGATGCGTTGTTCTTTCCACACAACAGTACCTGAATATTGGCACGCCGCGCCCCCCTGTGGCAAGCCCCAGGGGGCAGAGGTTCCTTGTGACAGTCTGTCGGGGTGTACTGGACGGCCTTTCGGAAGCCTCTTTGGCACAGACGGCGAGACCGCCCAAGAATAATGTAAAAGACTTGAAACACCAAAGACTTTCGGAAGCGCTCTTGGAATGGAAGCCTCTTGCCGTCTGGACGCCATCTGGAGCGCCGTGTACAGATGTTTCGGCGACGTGGGTCTCTCTTGACCTGTCTACAGGGGGCCTATTGGTGCCTTGTTGGCCCGTTTGGAGGCGCCTCCTTGGGCCCGACAAAGTCATACGACAAGAAGCGCCGGTGACCAGGGACGCACGCTGGGAGCCCCGGGAGATTGATGAATTTTGGGTCTGGGCCGCTTCACATTTCAATCCTGAGGGCTGGGGGCAAGATCGCAGAGGACCTGATGACAGTATACATCTCGTGCATCGCGGCACAGCCGTGGATTCTTTCCCAGGGTGCTGTTTTTAGCCCGAGCCCCTCCCCGCAACAACAAGCCGCCCAAAAACCCTGAGACCCAAGCCTCATCGTCGAGACCCCCCTTGCGCGGCCTGCCACGGCAACCCCGACACCCAACACCAGGGCTGGACCCACATTGTGTTTTGGTGATTTCGTGTGCCGTTTTCGTCCCCTCCCTCCCAGCCTTCCTTGCCGCCTCAGCGTCCAGCTCCCACCGCAACAGCCCGTCGCATCCACGCCCGCAGCTTGGATCCAAGGACCGCCGATTAAGACAAACAAAGCTGTTGGGTCGATCCCTGCCCGTCACACAGCGTGGGCACCGACCGACCGCTAGGGGTCGCTGCGCGCCCTGGTGGCCGCTACTGGCCGTGCCGGCAGACGCTGGCAGACGCCGCCGTTGGCAGCCGCCGCTGGCTGGCCGCCGCTGGCTGGCCGCCGCCGCTGCTGGCCGGCCGCTGGCCGACCGCCGCTGGCCGGCCGCCGCCAGCCGCCGCCAGCTGGCCGCGACGGCGTGGGCCTCTCTCTGGGCGTCCGGAGCGCTCTGCCGCCGTCACCGCCCAGCCGCGGGGCGAGGGCTGGGCGCCCCGAGCGGCGTGCCCCCCGCTGGCCCGCTGCCGTGCGCGGCGGGCGGCAGCCTGTCGCCGGTGGCGCAGTACACGGTGCCGCCAGAGGCCGGGGGGGGGGTCAGGCGTCGGCTGCAGGTGAGGGTGACCTTAGGAGAGCAGCAAGTGACATAAGCATAAAAGCTCGGAGGTCCGCGCCGATCCGAGAAATCCGCGCGGACCTCCGAGGTTTTATGTTTATGGCTTTTTTTTCCCCCCTAGACGTTTCGCCCGAGTGCCCTTTGGTGCGGGCGCACTGGGGTCCCCGGAGGACTGAGCGCGGTGCGAAGGCACCGTCTTGCGCGCTCGGGGAAGCCTCCCCGAAGCCCCCGGCAGTCGCGCACCAAAGGTTACTCTTGCCTTAGGTCAAGCAGTGGCGAAGCGTCCTGGCTCGCCTATAGCCCTACCAAACAATGTTCTAAGAACTTTTTGTGGTTTCCACGAAATGTTCTTAGAACATGTCTGTTTTAGATTGCCTTGTTTAAATACATCGGGTTTATGTTCTAAGAACATTGTTCTTGTTATTAAAACATTTGGGGGTTCTTAGAACATTTCGTGGCATGACTATGGGAACGCCGGGATGGTCTGTCCTTGCTCAATTAGGGCCACTCTTGCGTGTAGCCGAAGGGGCAACGATGCGGGGAACGCATCGATCCCCAATTGCCAATTGATCGCCGACAGGGGCCCGATAGCCCCACCCCGCCCAGGAACTTGCGGATTTGCTGTTGGGGGGCCTCTCGCCGATCCATCCTCGATGTACCGCCGACTCCAGGTTGGTGTTTCCCCCCCTCCTGCCAGGCCGCTCCCATCGTTGCCCTTCAGGAGGGGGCGGGAGCCGAGCTCGGAGGGGAGTGGTCAGCTGCACGTCGCGCCGTCGCTCTTGCCTGCAGGGTCACTCTCGTGAGCCGCTGACTTGGCATCGCTCGGACGTGTGCATTTTTTCCTCGGTGGGGACCATCGAGGAGCATCCTTGATCATTTGGCGAAAAACCACGCACGAAACCGAAACAAAAACAGGGAATGGACGTCCGAGCGATGGCGAGCTGAAGGGGGCGGGAGGCTGGGGGGACGAGAGGAGGGCCGGGTCTGTGCAGACGGCGTGCTTTCCGCTGTCCGCCTCTCTCGCCCCGGCCCCGTCGCAAGACTTCGGGCCTCCCAGGGGGTGCTGGAGCAGATGGGCGTCGGAGGATCGCGCCGCATCGCCGATCGGGGTCGGAGGATCGGGGTCGGCGAGGCGGCGCGATATGGAGCCCGATTCTCTCCACGCCGACGTCGCCGGTGCATCGCCGACGTCGCCGATGCATCGGTGGTGCACCTACAGTCGGGGCCCTGAAGAAGGAACCCTTTTTGCTGGGGAGGGCTCCGTGTTCCTCAAGCGTTTCACAGCTTGCCTCAGGCTCTCCTTTTATGTGTTCGACAGGAAATCGAAGGTTCACTCATGGAAAAAAGGGGCCTCGTTCCTTATTTAGGGTTCCTTAGGTCAACGCCCCGACTGTACTCCGACTCCATCCGGGAGGCCTGCGAGGACGGCGCGGGACGGACAGCCAGCCCCGGGGGGGCAGGGTCGGGGCCATGCGGGGCCCCCGTCTCCCAGAGGGCCGGCCCAGGGCGGGAGCTTCCCCAGGGATGGGTTTGACGGTCCCGGGGCCCGGCAGTGGCACACGGGCCGAAATGAAGTCCTCCTCCTCCTCCTCCTCCTCCTGCTCCTCCTCCTCCTCCTCCTGCTCCTCCTCCTCCTCCTCCTCCTCCTCCTCCTCCTCCTCCTCCTCCTCCTCCTCCTCCTCCTGTGGTGCGGCCCACAGGGGTCCCGCCAGCACTGGCTGGCGCGCGGAATGGGCCCGGCAGTGGCACACGGGCCGGAATGGAGGACACATCAGGCTACGCGTAAGGTGACGAACCAACAACACAGGGGAATCGGAGAGGGCTATGGGTGCGTGTTGTCGGATGGGGGTCCCCGCTCGAACGGGAGCGTCCTCCAGGGTCCGACAACCCGCACCCATGCCCATGTCCAGGCCTCCTCCCAACGACCTCCCTATGGGTATGTGTGTGTGTTGTTCGTTCGTCAAGAGTGGCCCTTCGCCAAAGTGGCCTGTGGTGCGGCCCACAGCGGTCCCGCCAGCACTGGCCGGCGCGCGCGGGTTGCGTGGGCTTGGCCTCCCCCGCGGCCCCCCCAAAGCTGCGCGCCAGAGGTCACTCCTGCCTCCCAGGGTGCTTCACGCGTGCAGCCTGAAAACCCAGAACGAGAAACAACACAATCTCTCGGATGGCTTGGGAGTGGCCAAGAGCCTCTGGCGCGATGTCCTCGGGCCGCTGGAGATGGCCCGAGGCGTTGGGGGGAGGGCGTCCAAGAGGGGTGGTGGTCCGAGGCGCCGGGGGGAGCCGCCAGGGGGAGGCCGGAGGGTGGGACGAGTATCATGGCGGGGGCCATGACAGCAGCTGCCCGCATTGCAGGGCCCCCTCTCTTGATTTCAGCACGTCCCCTGCCTCCTGCCACCCCCCTCCCCATGGGCCGCGCACGTGCCTGGTGCCATGGTTCGCTGGCCCCCCCATTGGACGCCCACCTCCTGGGCGCCCCCGCCTCTGCAGCCCGCGAGGGCGCGCGCGCTGTCCCACCGGCCCTTCTGGGTCGTGAGTGGCTCCGAGCGTCTCCTCGTCTTGGAGCCGTCGGGGGGTCTGAGGTGGCCCAGCACTGGCACCGCCCAGCAGGGAGGGCGGGCAGGCTCGAGGTTCTGGATTCGGGAGGGTGTTTGGATCCAGGGTGGCAGCCTGCACCTGCAGATGGATCCCGGGAGGGATCCGGGGACCGATTTCCATTAGAGCTTCTTCATCCCACCGATTCCCGATTTTCTCGGGTCTCAACCAGCTCAGACCCCCCGGCTGCCTCCAATCCTCTTCCATCTTAGATGGCCCAAGATGGCTCCACGAGGGCATCCGATGCTCCAAGATGACCTCCAAGACGGCTCGAGATAGCCGACGATGGTTCAAGATAGCTTCTGGCATGCCACAAGACGATGCGAAGTGCTCTCGGAGCCCCCCGCGGACCCGCCCAGAGGTTCAACAGTTCCTCCCTTTCCGTTCACTGCCTGCTGTCTCCGCCCGGCCCCTCTTCCGCCCGGCCACCCGCCCGGCCGGCCCTGGCTTCCCGCCTGCGCGTTCGTCGTCGCCTGCCTGCTTCTCCCCTCATCTTCCCCCTCCGACGGGCAGCACAGCCGGCCCAGGACCAGTGCGGCGGCGCGGTTGCCGTTTCGCTCCGGCCCTAGCGGGAAGGACCAAGAACCAAGCTTCCAAACCTTTTTGGAAAATCGGTGATGTTTGCCTTGTCGCTATTTCGTTTCCGATGCGCTTTTGAGGCCACAAGATGGCCCCAAGATGGCCCAAGAGAGACCAAAGAGGAGCCCAATAGGCCTCCCAGACGTCCCCAAGAGCGCCCAAGAGCGGCCGAAGAGCGTCCCAAGAGGACCCCAATCGGTAATTGCGAAGGCCTTACGGCCGGTGCCGCCGACCCTGAAGGGGGACGACAACGACGACAACGGCAGCGGCGGCGACCACGACGACGCTGACGTGGGCCAGAGTCCTCAGGGATGCTTCTTGGGGTCTCTTCGGAAGGCTCTCGGGGGCCTCTGGTGAGGATCTTTTGGCCGCTTGGGAGCCTCTTGGGGGCCTGCTAGGAGCCTCTCGGGGGCCTCTTCGAGCTTCCTTGGGACAGTTTGTGAGGGCCTCTTAGGGCCGCTCAGGAACCTCTTGAAACTCGGGGCCGAGGGCTCGAAATGTCAGTTCGCCTCCCCCGTCTGGGCACGCTCTTGGAGCCGTCTTGGGGGCCTTTTGGGCCGTCTTGGAGGCGTGATAGGGGTGTCTTGGGGTCCTCTTGGGATGTGTTGGGTCCCTCTTGGAGGCCTCTTGGGCCGTCTTGGCGTGATCTCGGGGTCATCCTGGGTCGTCGTGTGGCGGCGGGAAGCGGAAAAGACGAGAACGCCCAAATCCCCAAAAAGAGCCCAAGGAACAGTGAATTTTGTCTCTTGGGGCCCTCTCGGCAGTGCTCTTGGAGGCTTCTCGGGGCGTCTTGGAAGCTTCCTGGGCAGTCTGGAGGGCGTGAAGGCATTCTGGACCGATCGTTTGGCGATTGGGGGCCCTCTTGGACCGTCTCGGGGGCCTCTTCGGGCACTCTCGGCCTGCTTCGGTGTTTTCTGAGGCCTTAGGACCCCAGGGGGGGATGCGAATCTGACCCCCCCGCCCCCCACAGGACCCCCCCCGGGACCCCCCCCCCGACGGGGGAGGGATCAAAGGGAAGGGGCTTCCCTTCGACTCGATTACGACATTGCTAGATTTCTCTCTCGCTGACAGATTTTAGGAGGAGGGCGCAGGGAAAAGGGACGACAGAGACGACGACTGACGGAGACGACGACTCGATCAGACAAGCCCCTCACACGCGCCCCAAGATGAGCCCAAGAGGCCCAAGATGAGCCCAAGAGGCCCCCTCGACGGCCCCAAGAGCGCCCAAGAGCGTCCTAAGACAACCCCAATAGACGATCCTGATGGCCCCATGGAGGGTGGGGGGGGGGGGCGGACATGGAGCATCCCCCCTTCTTGGATCGACTCCCTACAAGATGACCCGAAGAAGTCTCACAGGGCTCCCAAGAGGGCCCCAAGAAAAAGAACGCCAAGAGGGCCCCAAGAGGGCCCCCAAAGGCGGTTGGTCTCCTCCTCCTCCTCTTCCTCCTCCTCCTCCTCCTCCTCCTCCTCCTCCTCCTCTCTCTCCTCCTCCTCCTATTTCTCCTCCTCCTCCTCCTCCTCCTCCTCCTCCTCCTCCTCCCCTCGCCCCTCCGCGGGACCCAGGGATGTCCAAAAGAGGCCCTCCAAGGCCACCCCTTTGCTCCAGAGATCTCCCTCCTGTACTCCGGGTTCCCCGCCCTGTTTCGCAGCCTGTGCCCCTCGTCCTTCTTCCCGTCAGTTCTCCTGGGCAGGGTTTTGCCGAACGAGTTGGCGGGGACACTTTTTTGTTCGCAAGCGTCACGGTCTGACCGCGCGCCGAAAGTAACAAGGCAGCCGAGCCAAGCACTAAATTAACCACAAGCAACGGGAGCGAGCTACGCTGCAGCTCAGGGGGCAGGATTCAACCCAGTCTTTCCATGTTGTGGTTCTGTTCGCAGCGTGGATCAACAGGAGTCTCGACCCCTTCTCGGCGCCGCGCGCAAGGAGGGGCGGTCGCCAGGGGGGCGGCATTCTAATCAGGTTTGAGGGGGGGGCTTCGCAGAAGGCAAGCTTTTTCTTGACGAAGTCCTCCCTGCTTGAAGGGAGGGAGGAGGCGGTGGAGGGAAGAGGAAGAGGAGGAGGACGAGGACGAAGATGAGGACGAGGATCAGGAGGAGTCCTCAGAAGCAGCCGGGCGCTCCCAAGAAGGCCGCAGCCGTCTGGGAGGCCGGCCGCCTTCTCTGAAGGCCACCCTCCTGGCGCCTCCCCCGTGCGCGCGCCAACAGCCTCCCCCAGGGACCCGCTTTGTCATCGAGGTCGGACGGGGCCCGGTAACGGCCCCAGGAGGCAGATAGTGCCACACACCTCCTGACGCTTAGGATTCAATATGTTGGAGGTTGACGCCGGAAGCCAGCATCGGCGCTGGTACATCCTAGTCGAGCATCGAGATCCAGCGTAGTCGAGCCTAGTCCCGACTAATCCGCCCAGATGGCCCCTCAATCGGGCTTCAATCGGTCTGCTCAAACGTTCCTACGACGTCATCCAAGTTCATGAGATGGGGGGTCCAGTCAAGTTCAAGACCACGCATTGGCTTGCCAAATAATCGCTTGTGCCCCGTCATCCATCTGGTCACGCGACGGGAGCCATGAGTACGCGTCAAGAACTTGTTGTGTGTACCAGGCGCACGTTTTCGCTTAGGACGCCACGTGACATTGCAGCCTTAGTATCGGAAAGCGCCAGAGCTAGTTATCGGCGGCGAGCTCAGGGGGGAAGTGAAAGCGGCAGGCCTTCTCAGATGGCAGCGGGCTTTCTTAGAGCCCTCGCGCCTTCTGAGAAGTTGTCTAAGCTTTCTCCGAAGACCGAGACGACGTCTCAGCTGGCAGGAGGGCTTCTGAGAAGCCTCGCCGCCTTCTGACAAGGCCTGGCCCCTCTCACTTGGGCTGATTGCCTGAGTATGACGCCCCAGCGCGATCTCACTCCTGGGAGGCGCTGCCGCTGAAACGGCGCCTCGCGAACAACATATCCGTCTTCGCGGCCTCGCGGGCCAGGCCCCTGGGCCGCGACCCCGCAGTTGCGGGGCGTTGTGGCGCGGAGGCCCCGTGCAGAGCGTGTCCGTGCGACTGAGTATCCGCGGGATCTCGCCCTGAATCCAGGCCGCGAGGGCGCGGCTATGGACACGTTCGCCGCTCGTGAGAGGCTGGGGGCTAGAGAGTGCTCAGCGCACGATGCCCAGGCGGCGCCCAGCAGCCCCCTGGACGTCTCAACCGGCAGCCTCGCAGACAGGCTGCAGCCGAGGAGGGGAGCGGCGGGGGCCGGGAGCCGCAGCGGCCCTCGGGGTCGGGATGCAGGAGAAGACGAAGAGTAGAAGGAGGAGGACGAGAAGGAGGAGGGGGAGAAAGCGGAGGAGGAGGAGGAGGAGGAGGAGGAGGAGGAGGAGGAGGAGGAGGGGGAGGAAGAGGAGGGGGAGGGGGAGGAGGGGGAGGAGGAGGAGGGGGAGGAGGAGGAGGAGGAGGAGGAGGAGGAGGAGGAGGAGGAGTAGGAGGAGGAGGAGAGGAGGAGGAGGAGGAGGAAGAGGAGGAAGAGAGAGGAGGAGGAGGAGGAGGAGGAGGAGGAGAGGAGGAGGAGAGGAGGAGGAGCTGGGGAGGAGAGGGGAGGTGTACTGGGCGAGGGGGAGGAGCAGGAGGTTAAGAGGAGGAGGAGGAGGAGAAGGAGGAGGAGAAGGAGGAGGAGGACGAGGAGGAGGAAGAGGCGCGGGAGGTTCAGAGAAGGGGGGGCGGGAGGAAAACGTGAAGAAGATGAGGGAGAAGAGGAGGAGCAGGCGGAGGGGTCGTACGCATTGATCCGAAGGATTGTTTTGTTTGAGTTGGGGAGTGTTTCGTCCATTTCGGTTTTCGGGTGCCGTCCGTGGGCCCGGGCCCGGAACCATCAAATATATGGCCGTGGCGAAAAAACGTTTTTGTGAGGAGGACCCAGGCGCCCAACTTATTGAGCAACTCTACACGGAGTTCGTTCGCCATTGTCGGCCTCTGGGTGCCTTCGCCGAGTCGCGGGGCCTGCTGTGCAACACGTGAGGCGGGTATTTGGGGAGGAGCAGGAGGAAGAAGGCGGGGGAGGACGAGGGGGAGGAGGAGGCGGAGGAGGAGGAGGAGGAGGAGGAGGCGGAGGAGGAGGAGGAGGAGCAGGAGGAGGAGGAGGAGGAGGAGCAGGAGGAGGAGGACACATGTCGATGTTGCAATAAACGCATCAACAATGTTGCAATACGCCCTCACTCCAAGATCCCTCTGCACATGTCCCTACCATAACTTATCTTAATTTCGGGAAGTGCCCAATGGGAAGACAACCGTCACTCGATCGCTCCCGAACACCATTCCTTGGACTTCAGCGCCGCGAATCAAGGTGACTGCTGCGCCCCGGCAAGCTTAAATCGTGCCAGAAAACTGAGCACCGCGAATGAATGTCATTGCTGCGCTCGGACGGCCCTAATTCCGACACTGTGCGATAACACTTCTCCTGGGATTTTAACCGTATGAATTCTTGAAACTGCTGCATCCTTTCAAGACTCATGTGCGCGGCGCTAAGGAGGGGAGCCACATTTGGAAAATCCCGCAACTTCCAGCGTTTGGGTCATACCTGGTGAGGAAGTCTCAGGCGAAACGCCCGCCCCGTCCCGCCGACACGTTCGGGGGTGCGACAGGGATGGGTGATCGAGTGATCGAGGAGGAAAGCATGATGGAAAAGCGTTTGCCTTGAAATTCAGACCTGCCCGACGCATCCCTTTTAGACCCCCGCCCTTCGCGACGGCGGGGTCTACATTTGAGCCCCAATAGCGCGGGTCTACATGTCTAGGCCCTTCTCGCAGGTCTACATGTGGGAGGGCTGTTAGCGTTTCGCTGGACAAGGGCTGGAGGAGCACCGAGACATGTAGACGCTTGCACTGCCGCGATGGGCGGCCACTTTTTGGGAACAGTAGTCGCCTGGAGCTGTTTTTTTTGGCCAGGCCTCCCTCGAAATTAGAGGTCGGCATTTCGTCAGCTTGAATTTGCAATGGCGCTCCCGCCTAAGTCTTGTCGTGGTGGAAGCACGAGACGGACCATAGCTGTCGTAGCGCGATGCTACTGAGACCGGGATGTCGCGACAATTAGTAACAATGCAGGCAATGCAGGGCACAGTTGCGTTGTATTTGGAGCGAGTACCATTCGCTCACGCCGATGTCTTTGGCCCAACAGAGACCACACAGTTCGTTCAAGAAGGCCTCGCGTCCGAGGGATCCAGAGATCGATGTCTCTTCCCTGGCGGAGGGCGGCGGAAGTACAATTGGGGCCGCCCAGCGGAAGTAGAAGCTGGCCCTCCAACAGATGCACCGTTTTTGTGGTGAGGGGTTCTTGGGGTCGCATAGAGTGATGGTGAGGTCATTTGGCCGTCTTAGGAGAAGTTCCTCGCAGTTATATTTAATCCCAGACCTTCGACGCCATGATTATTTCAATCCGCAGAGCGCAGCAGATCTCTTGACAAGACTTCGCGCTGGGAGTGGTTTTGTGGGCCCAGGGGCCTAGACAGGAGGCCCATTCTTGAAAAGTACAGGCGCCCTGGTTTGATCCATCTGCTAGAGGCCCGGGGGTTCGAGAGCTCTGGTCGTGAGTTTGTTGTTTCAGCTTCCCAGAGGCTTTCAAGAGAGACCTCCCGAGGCCACCATGGAGACCCGCGGAGACCTGCGGAACGCAGACTTCTGGCCGATCGTCTGTATGGGTGCATGTGTGTTCGCGCGGCCAGCTGTACCCCACCGAGTTGACTTAGGAGAGGTTTTGGGGCCCAGGGACCGACCATCAGGAAACAATCGAGGATGAGAAACCGCTCCCCCGGTAAGGGATTGTGAGTTCGGGGGCCCACGTGCGGAAGACATATCTCCGACAGAGGTCTGCGGGGAGAGAACGTTGTACAAGTGCTGTGGCCAGCTTGGACACATTGAGAGCGAGAGAGAGAGTGAGAGAGAAGGCCCGACAGAGATGGCTCTGTGGACATGCCTTCTCCTCCTCCCTCCTGTCCCCTGAGGCCGCTCTTTGGACACGCCTGCGTCTCCTTCATCCTTTCCCTTCTGTTCCTCGAACGTCCCCGAAGGCCGCAGGAGGTCTCTGCTGGAAGGCCCACTTCAAACTTCCCGAACTCCACTCTTCGTATGCAGGTTCTATAAGATTTGACTAAGTAGTACGCTGGCCGGTAATGGGATGTTGAATCACATGTCTGTTTAATGTGTGCCACGTACTTCTTCAGGTTTACCACAGGTTCTCCGAGCTGGGCTACACAATTCAAGTAAGCAGCTGCCTTCCGAAGCTGAATCACATTGTGGTCTCGAAACCGAGACGCGTGCCTTTGCAAGTGAAGGCGGCTTTGCGAAATCGGTCCTCATGGGCTCATGGGCAGCTCGCCTTCCAGGCCTAAGGGGCCAGAGCACAGTACAGGATCTCGCTCGCTTGTTCAAAGGTTATAGCTTATTGCTGGGATGGAGGAATTCACGAGCACTGTGGGCTCAGGAAGGGGTCTAGTTTTCGGGCCGTTCGTTGGGTCTACGTCGGGGAGCCTCCGCATGTCCAAGTCACTCCGTTTGCTGCTGCTTTGGAAGACGAAGGTAAACAGGGTCGAATGCGCGGACATTCGCGCGTGAGCTTCCCGCGTAAGGTCGCGCGTGAGCGCCCTCGTCTCCAGTGTAGCGTGCCGCGCTGGCGGTCGCGTAAACCACCCGCTTGTTTTCGTCACTCGGTTGGCTCTCCTCATGGTGGCACGATGGGCTTTGCAAAAAGGATTGCAAAAAAACCCTGGATTGCAAAAAAACCCTGGGTTTTTTGCAATCCTTCGTCCTGGGGTTTTTTGCAATCCTCGGTTTTTTGCAATCCTTCGTTTTTTTTGCAATCCTTCGTTTTTTTGCAATCCTTCGAGCAGTAGGTGGGCCAGTGGCAGCCCAAGTGCGAGCTCCGCCGGCTGACAGGCCGGCGCCTGGCCCAGGGCAGGGGCCCAGCTCAGCCCCCTGGACCATGGCGCTGGATCCCCCCGAAGGTGCATGTGCTCAGAGCCCCGAATCATCAGGGGTAACTCGGGTCAGGGCTAACTCGGGTTCGTTTTTCGGGAATCCGAACCCGACTTACCCCGGACCCGAGTTACCCCGGATAACTCGGGCGTCCAGAGCCCCGAATCATCAGGGGTAACTCGGGTCAGGGCTAACTCGGGTTCCTTTTTCGGGAATCCAAACCCGAGTTACCCCGGACCCGAGTTACCCCGGATAAGTCGGGCGCCCAATGTGCGAGCTGGATAGGCTCGAGGGGAGAAATACGGGGACCATAACCGAGTTGTCGCGGGCTCCTGTCGATGCCGATCTTTGTCGTGGTCCGTGTCGGCCGTCACCGCTCCGCGAGGATGATCCACGAATTGACGTTGACCAAGATCGACGGTGACCAGGATCGACACGACACTTTCACGTTCAGTCTTGATATAGGTGCGATGAGCGGCAGCAGGAGGCGGAGGGCCTCTCCACCCACCGTGAGCCGCAGACCCAGGCGTCGCCCACAGAACTGGTGAGGGCCGCTTTTTCGTCGTCCTCGACCTCTGGAGGCGCCCCCCCCGCCACAGGACATCCAAAGCACGAGTCCAGATGAGAAGCTGGCCCCAGGGCAGTCGCCGAGATCCCCCGGGGCCGGCGCAACGAAACAGCTGCAGCGGCGTGGGCAGGCGGCCCCAGTTTCCCGCGGTCTCGCGCCAGCAGCAGTCCATGCGAGGGCCAGCGCGGAGGCGGGGAGGCACCTGGGCACGCGCGTGACCGTCTACCGCTGAATCACCGCCTGCGGCCTGCGCCGCGGCGGCTGCACGCCAATGTGCCGGGTGGCGTGGCGCGGGGACGCCAGGTCTCCCCCCGTAACTACGAGCATGCGTTTGCATTCACACTCTCTCGCTCTTTCTCGTTGTCTTGCTCTCTCTCTCTGTTTCTTTCGCTCCCCCCTGTCCCTGTCCCTCTCCGTGTTTTTGTTTGTGTGTGCGTTGTCAGGCCTTGTCCGTCGCTTACCATCTTGAGTTTGCCCCCCTCCCCCCGTGATCGCACCCTTCCTTGCCCAAGAGAACTTCCCTCTCCCACGCTCTCTTCGTACAGTGCGGGCCGCTGATGGCTGCCGGATCGTTCGCTGCCAATGCGCTCACCCGAGAAGACGCCGGGGCGATGTGTGGGTGTGGGGCCCACGCAGAGGGCCAGCGGGGCCAGAGGTGTAATGCCGCGTGGATGCCGAGGGCTGTGGATCAGGGTGAGATTGTTCTCATCAGGCTTTAGGACCACATTCCAAACATAATTTCGAGCACCCAGAGAAGTATCGAGCGTCTGCCCGACACGCTGGCGAAGCGTCAAACGAGCATCGCTTCCCAGGGCCCCACGTGAAAACCCCGCAGTTTCGCTGCTTCCTTGGTGCTCGAAAGTCTTCTCTGGTGGTCGAGGCTAAAGTAGGCTGGAACATCTTAAGGTCAGGGAGGAGGGAGGAGGCCGATGTCGATGTTCGCGGTAGTGTGTTGGTATTGAGGTTCTGGATTCGGATATGTTGCCTGGAAACCGGTTCGAGGCGAGGGGTCTGACAGTCGCATTGAGCCATCAGACGGTTCGATCGTCGCGTCGTATGGAATGTTTATTATTGTGGATTGTTTGTGTCGGTGCGCTTGCGCTCCAGAGAGGTGCTCAGGATCGCATCAGGCAGCGTGGGCGTTGCTCATCATGAGGCTCCATGGCTTCGAGGGGTGCGGGGATAGCGCGCTGCAGTTGAGCCTGCGTTGAGGTCGCACAGGCAAACCTCAAGCGCTTCGACTATACAGATGAGATAATCATTTTCTACAGGGCGCTGCTGCAAGTCAAAGTCCTCATTGCTATTCTCGGCTGGCCGCGCACACGCCCCTACGTCGAGCAAGACCAATCGAGAGGGAGCCGAGGAGCCACACCAAGGCTTACGATGTCGTGTCTGTGTGTGTTTCTATCCGGGATCCCTCGGCTTCTCTACACAGCTCGCAGTGCGCATGGAATGTGCCCGTGAAGGACATTTGGATTTGGGCAGGCATGGTTCTTTTGTACAATCGTGTCGTGATTTGCTTGGGTAGCTCTTTTCATGCACCAGGCAAGCCAAACTTGCATGCTCCCTCTTCTGAGCGCCATGATGCCAGTACCCGTCGCGTGCCATACCTCATGGCTCAAGAAGATTCTCGTGGGCCGGAAGGCAGCAGGCGCGTGCGACGCCACGAACTGCAGCTGGCACCATAGGCGACGCGGGACGGATGGTAGGAGCAGGATGGGCCAGAAGACGTTCTGATGGCAGACGTTAGTAATTTGCGTGCGTTCGCAAATCTATCTAAGTCGCCTACCGTGAATCAGAGCCGCCCTCTGCCTTCTGGAAGCGATCATGTGCCCGAACGTTGCTGCCAAAGCTTGGCCAAGCTACCGGAGTATGTGATCAATGTGTTTCCCACGCCGTCGTGGAAACCCTTCGGGGAATACAAGGGGAAAATAGAAAAAGAGCAGGAGAGGGAGGAGCAAGGAGAAGAGGGAGGGAGAGGCCTCTTTGGAGCGTCTTGGGGCTCTCTTTGGGCATCATGGGAGTTGCCTCGCGGCCTCTTGTACGCCAGTTGAGACCTTCCTTGCGCCTCTTCTTGGGGGCCTTTGTAGGCTCCTGGGGGGGCTCTTTAGCCGTGTTCGGACGTTCCTGGCCCGTCTGTCTCTGTTGGAAGCCGTCTTGGGAGCCTCTCTGGGCCGACTTGGGGCCCATTTTGGAGCGCTTCAGGGCCGTCTTGGAGGCTGCCTTGAGCGTCTTGGAGGTCTCCTGGGCCGTTTGTGGGGCCTTTTTGTGCCGTCAGGGGGCCGGAAGCCTCTTGGGCGCTCTAGGGGCAGGCACTGAGCAAACGCCCGAAGTCTAGGGCTCTCTTTGGGGGTCCTCTTGGGGCCATCTTTGGGGGTCTCTTGGGGTTCTCTTTGGACATCTTGGTGTCATCTTGGGCCATCTGGCTCCCACTCTGGGCGTCCGTGGGTCCATCTTGGGGCCATCTTGAGCTCTCTCGAGGCAGTCTTGACCGTTTTGGAAGCATGTAGGAACCATCCTGGAGGCCATCATGGCCGTCTTGGAGGCGTCTTGGAGGCCATCTTGGGGCCAGCTGGAGCTGGAAGACCGACGACCTAGGAGGTCTACAGTCGGGGCCCTGAAGAAGGAACCCTTTTCGTTGGCGAGGGGCTCCGCATTCCTTAAGTGTTTCACAGCTTGCCTTAGGTTTTCCTTATGTTTTCGATCGGAAATCGAAGTTTAACTTATGGAAAAGAGGGGCCTCGTTCCTTATTTAGGGTTCCTTAGGTCAACGCCCCGACTGTACGGGTCCTCATTCTGCGCCGGCGGGATCGGCCGAAGGCCCACTAGAAACTTCACAAAAGGACCATCAAGTGCCTCACGTTGAGCACGCCGTGGGCCGCTGCGGCAAGCCAACAGGGGGCGGCGGACGAACAGGCTTCGGAACAAATTAGCGAACACATGCCACACTCATCCGTCAACGCCTCCCCCTCCCCCCAATGTTCATAGTTGGCGGTGGGTCTGGTGAGGTGCACTTCGACCGCAGTCTCCCCCGCGCGTGCCAACATTGAGTTTGGGGGGGTGATCTTGTCGCACAGCTCCCTGACCAAGCCTGCGCTGTCCTCCGAATCCTGGTCATCCCCTCTACCTGTGTTATCGTCCTGCTGATCTACCTTCAGCTTTTAGCCGTCTTTCTCCTTGCGGCGCTTCCTTTTCACATGCGCGCGTTTTTTTCCCCCGCTATCGTCTTTTGAACGATCCTCCCCCCCCCCTCCCAGCCTGCCCCCAACAGCGGGCCCATGAGTAGTTGTTTCCCTCTACCGAATGGCCTTCGGCCCATCCCCCCGCCACCGCGCCCGGGGCTGCGGGTCGAGGCTGGCAGGCGGATGCAGTACGACGGTGGCAGCAGTCTAATATGCAGGCCTTCGCGGAGCGTTCGCTCTCACAGCTGCTTGCAGGCCTCTTGGCACCCTCTTGGTCCTCCTCCTCCTCCTCCTCCTCCTCCTCCAGCGGTCCGAGACGATTGCGCGCAGCGCGCCGTTCGCCGCGCCCGCCAGGCGGTCATCCTGGTGGTGTCTCCCACTCGCGAGGCGAGGCGAGGCCGTCGGCAGGGGGAGGGAATGTCATGTCCGTCCTCCGCCTCCTCGGCTTCAACCCTCATTTGGAAAGTGGCGATAGGCTATGTGAGATTATGGGGGAGACACGGAACTTTGATGCAGTAGCATTGGCAGGCACGAAGAGTGTGGACCGTCCGCAGCAAGGGCTCAGAGTTCTACGCCAGCGCTGTGCAGGCCGACTTGTTCTGGAGTCACCTTTTTTCGATTCGCCGTACAGCAACAACAGTTGTGGGTGTGCTATTGGCTTTGGCAGTCAGACACGCGAGCAGAACATCATCAGAACATGGGTCAGCCCACCAGAGGCGCGAGGCCGAGCACTAGCTGCACGAGCAAAAAGTGGTCCGATCGACATTTGCCCCATCGTCGTTTATTTTCCTCCGAGACCAAAGTATCGTGCTCAGAGGCCTCAGTATCTATCGACGGTACGTCTCTTAGTGGCGTGGCTGTCATGCGTGTTGAGTGAGCTACCACATCGATGCACCCCACTGCTCTATTGTGATCTTAATGATGGGATTGGTCAGTCTCGTGGCTCTCATGGGTGGGAAGATGTGGGCACTTCAGTGGTGATCGATGTACCGACGCAGGAGATGATTCCTCGGGGTGCTGGACAATTGTTGCGGGAGTGCATGGAGTCTCATTTCATGGTGGCTGGTAATACCGCCGGTCAGCTTCAACATACTTTTTTTGGGCCTGAAGGCGCTTCGAGTCGCATCGACTACGTCTTTTATCCCTCGGCGATGCAGCATTTGGTGAGAGGGTGCTTCCCCTTGAAGGGGCTTGGCGCCAAATTGCAAGCAATTCGTGGACAATCGCCACGGGATCATGTACCTGTGATGCGCGCGCTGACTTACGACAAGGCCGGCTTGCTGGGAGGACCTACTTCTACGCAGCTCCGTTGGAAACGAGATCTTATGATGGCTTCACTTCGCCAGGGAAAAGGCAGACGTGAGTACTTGATGGCGGCCAAGGAAGAGATCGACAAACTACCTTTTGCCTTCTTGTAAGATCAGGCCTCCCCCGACGAACTGTTCGAGCGGTTGGAGGATGCACTGATTTCTGCTGGGCAACGAATTTTCTCACAGTCAAGTCGTACCAGTCCCGAGTACAAAGAGAATGCTGAGAGACGGCGTCAACTTCTGGCTGCGCGGGTTCGTCTTCGTGGCACAAAGTTGGGCATGAACGATGACGATGCGCAACGCGTTGATGCTGAGCTCCGTGTCCTTCCCGCCGAACCCTCTGCTGAACGACGTCGTGCTGCCAGATCTCTTCGCTCTCAGTTGGTGGAAGAGGCATCGGAGCAGTGGCGACGGCGGTATACTTCTGAAGCACTCTCACTATCCAGGCGTGCGGCTCGTTGTAGAACGGGCCCGAAGAACAGAGACGGGCGCCTGGCGCAGGGGCCCCCTCCGAGTCGGGAGGAGCGGCTCCAAGTCTGGCGCGCTCCTGGGGGAGGAGGAGGCATGATGGTGGAGGAGGCAGACTGGGAAGCTTGGAGGGCTGAGAGGGAGGGGGGGACGTACGACTGGGACGTGACGGAGGAGGAGCAGGAGTTAGCCCAGCAGGATTAAAAGTTGATCAGGTCTTACATCATGAGGGCCCCGAAGAGGAGAGCAGCCCCCGAAGGTAGTGCACCTCTAGAGCTTTGGCACCAGCTACTTTACCCCAACTGGAGGGCGGCACAACAACAAGGGGGAACAGGATATGACGAGTCGATGCCCGAGGTTCCTGGGGTCTGGTGGATCCTCTCGGTGGGCCTCGCGAAGGCCCGACACTCTCAGAAGGCCCCGCTACATTGGCATCGTAGTCGAGGGGCTGGCCCACCCAAAAGCGCACAACGCGGTCCCCGAGGGAAACGAGTTGTACATGTGTTGCCAGTTCTTGGGGAAGCATATTATTCCAAGATGTTGAACGTTGCGCCCTCTCAGCAAGACCACGGCTTCGTCGCCCACAGGAGGCGCGAGGTCGCCATTTTCATCGCCCAGGTGACTTGTTGGCGACTGTGCCGTGTTCGGCGCTCCTTCGTCATGGGCCTCAAGGATATGACAAATGCCTTTGGGAGCTCGGGCTGGTCTGAATTAGAGATCACGATTGCTCACTCTACCTCGGAGGCTAACCGCGCCCTCTGCCAGCAGCGGTACGAGGATAGCATGATTGAATTAATTGCTGGTGAGGGGCCCCTGTTGGTGAAGCCGCTCCAAGGTGGCGTCATGGGGGACCCCTTCACGGTGGCCGCGTTTTTAGGCACGTTCTCTCGGGCGACGCTTCAATGGGCATACCAGTGGAGTCGGTCCGACCCGATGTCCCGCTTCTTGGTTTCAACATGGCTGAACTTCCAGAGTGACTTGAGTTTATTGAAGTATGCCGATGACGTAAACAAAACAGTAGTGGCCTCCGACGAGATGGCCCTGGGGGACCTCTTTGGGAAGGTTCGTGAGATGGACGAGGTTTTCGACTCGGTGATGAAGCCGCTCGGGCACGTTCAGAATCCCGGGAAGCAAGAGTGTTTGACGCATTTTACCTCCCAGGGGAATGGAGCTCGACAGGCGGTTCGAAAGGGGATCGAGGGCATCCAGGGTCAAATCAAAGATAGCGTGAGGTATCTGGGCCCCCACATTCGAGTTCGGGATTCGAGTCGCCAGGAGGTCACCAGGAGGTGTTCAGCTGCACGTACTGCATTCTACAGAATTGGAGGGATCTGGTCGTTGGCGATCCCCTTTAAGCTGCGCAAGCTTCTGCTGGTGGGCAATGTTCAGAATGCTCTACTTTCTGGCCTGGAAGCGCTCGTGCTCAGCAAGGCCGACTATCGGCGCCTGGACAATTGCTTGGCTTCTCTCGCTCGTATCGCGATGCTTGGTCGCGCCACGCTCAGGGAGGAAACGAAGACACGCTCTCTGACTCACCCTCAGGTCCTTCTCTATTGGAGACTGCTGGGCAGCGAGTGTGAGATGAGAATTCGTCGTTTGAAGTGGTGCCAGAGCTGGGCTGAGCGACCCGATCATCACATCCAACCGTTGTGCGCGATGTTCGGGGGCCTTGAGGGCGGGGCAGAGCATGGGCTCCCACCGCAGTTGCTCGAAGGGGTCCCATCTGAGGCAGCGTCTCCGTGGTTGAGTCAGATGACGCACGATCTTGAGTTTGCAGCGGGCGTCGTCGATAGCGAGGCGATCGATGTGTTGCTTAATGGCATGAATGTGTTCGGTAATAAGGAGGAGATGGAGGATTTCTGCATGATTGACATGGGGGTGCTCTGGGCTTCGAGGTCCCGGGTTCAGGTCCCACCACCAGGTTTCGCACCGACGTCAGCGGGGCTCGAGGGACCTCCTGCAGCTCTTGGTGGGGATCCACATCACGCGTGCAGGGCATGTACAGAGACGGGCGTATGTGGAGCAGCTTTTCACACACGTAAATCACTTATGAACCACTATCGTGCTCGTCACACTGCACGTAGTTTGGCACATGTGATCACACCCACTAACATATGCGTGCACTGCAGGCAGATATTCTCGAGCAAGATCACAGCTTCACGGCATCTCTCGGGGTCTATTCTGAGGGGCAGCTGTTGTACTACGGGACCGTGGGCACTGGAGGAACTACAGCAGCCTCGATCCTTACAGTGTTCCTTGTGTCTGTACGAAGCTGGCGATCTTCCTGATGTATGTAACCATTTGGCTTCAGAGCATCTTCCTTGGAAGTTACCTCCTCTGAGTACCGCGCGCTCTACACATCAGCGAGCAGCTCTCGATGGCGGAGCTGGTGCTGCCGTCCTGGTTCAGCGGCAGGAAGCGAGATGGCGACGCCGCACCGCCGAGCGCTGGAGCAGCAGGCAGAGGCGGCCAGCCGACGGGGGGCAGCGGCAACAAGCATGCCAAGAAGGGCGACGGCAAAGGCAACAAGGACGTGGCGAAGGTCGTGGCGCAGGTCGTGCGCCTCCTGCTCACCGTGACGCGCGAGCTCGGGGACGTGGCCAGTGTCGTGTTCCTCCGGTGGGACATCGCCCTCGACAGAGGGCTTCCAGCTTGCCTGGTCGCGGCGGGCAAGAAGTGCGACGAGCAGAGCAAGGACATGAAGGCCAAGCAGCAGGCGGGGGAAGAGCAGGACTTCAAGGGCAGGGGTCCTCCGCACCTCCAGATTTTCGCATCGGCAATGCAGCGCTGTGCAACACGGACTCCTACAGCGGGATCTACGGAAGAGGTCGAGAAGCAACTGGTTCTGGACAGCAAGGACTGGTGGCAGCAGTATATGAGCGAGGACATCTCGCTGAAAGTGATCGGCAGGGCGGTTCCGTACTTTCGTTGCAAGCCGCTGAAGAAGGAGAACAGGGCGATCATCATGATGCGGACCGACTTCAACAAGCCGATGGGCGTGGAGACGTCGAGGCTCTTGGAGGCGGTGATCGAGGCCGAGGGCGGGGAGTTTCTTCTGGGATCAGCTCCACGGGGGCCCATAGAGAGGGAGCTTATGGCCTGGGTGAACAAGTCAGACGGAGCTTGAGTGGAAGTTCGCGGCTTCAGGAGTTGATTTCTAGAGGAGTGGTGGCACCAGATATTCTGGAGCGTCCAAGCCGATCACGATCGGCTACGACGTACAGTGACCCTGGGCTGCCGCCAATCCCGACTGTAGTGCTGCCTCGTAATAGGCCGTTGCAGGCGAGAGGGAAGGGTCGGGGTGGTGGGTCGGAGCGGGGGCGGGGAAGGAGAGGAGCTCTCTGAGCCTTTGGGCTGGCGGCCATCTGCGGGCTGCGTGCCTGTTGGCCTGCCAGTCGCGGCCAGTGCCTCAGCTGGGGTGAGCGAAGGTCTCGCCTCAGGGAGTGAATGTGGGGTCCGTATTGACCCGCCTCAGAGCCTTAGGGCGTGTCGAATTGCAGTCTGAGCTCAGGCAGAGATGCAGTGCGGCTTGTTGGCAGAGGCAGGACTCCATGAGATGGTCTAAGGTCTAAGGTCTCCTCCTCCTCCTCCTCCTCCCTTCTTCTCCTCCTCCTCCTCCTCCTCCTTCTCCTCCTCCTCCTCCTCGTGGGTGCCTGGAGGCCGAAAGTAGGTGAAAACCTCCCGTTGCTTTTTCACGACGCGAGGGGGATCAGGTCGCTCGAAAGCTTCAGGGTCGCGGGGTGCGTGGGAAGGAAACGGGGATAGTGAGGCAAGAGGGCGGCCTTGGAGTTCATCTGAGCCACAGACATTTAGATTGGCATAGTTTAGAAAGACACTTGGAACAGTATGGTGAAGCTCCTTCGGGAGCCTCCGGGGTAACGTCTTGGACAAATTCTACGTCTGTCGACGCCCCCTGGGACCGTTTGGATGCTTCTTGGAGGCCTGCTGGCGGTCTCGGGGATCCTCTTGGGGCAGAGGTCTCGACATGTCAGTTCGTGTTCCCCATCTTGGACCCTCTTGGAGCTCGCTTCGGGCCCTGTTGGGCCATCTGCGAGGTCTCTGGGACCGTTTTGGGGCCGTCTGGGGCTGTCTTGGGCCTGTGTAAGAAGCCTCTTGGGCCGTCTTGACCCGATCTCGACGGCCTCTTGGGCAGTCTTGAACGCCGTGCAGACCCGCAAACCGAATACACCGAAAAAACCGAGCAAGCACACCTGAGAGCTAACAGTGTTCTGCAGAAGAACACGGCAGTCTGGGTTTGGCCAGCTCCTCTCCACGGCTGCCGGGCAGGCATCATCGCAGCAGGTTGCTGGAGCTTCCAGCGTGTCCTGGAATAGCTTTCCTACTCGTTCCCAATACGTCTGCCGCAAGGGTTTGTGAAGCTCCTTTGCAGCGCTTCCTAGGCTCGTGGGAAGCTTCTTAGGTAGATCCCAGGCAGTGTTTCCTGGGCTCGTGGACTGCGCCTAGGCAGCGTTTCCTAGGCTCGTGGGCAGCGCCCAGGCAGGCAGAGTTTTCTGCCCCGTGAGCGCCCAATGTGAGCGCCCAGTAGGCTGACATGGCGCGTGCAGGCGCGCGCGAGAGCGCGCGATGGCGCGCCGGCGCGAGGAGCTGCGCCGCTATCCGTGTTGTGGATTATTCAGGTGCGCGGTTGGCTCTTGGGGCCTCCTGCCTTCAGTTTATCCGAGAAGCCTCGGGTCGAACGGGGCCGCCCTGGGAATTCTGGGTCTCGCGGCGGGCCCGTTCAAGTGCATACGTTTCTCCATACAGAAAACTCTACAGACCATGAGGGCCTCAGGGCATTCCATTCAGTGCCTGCCAGAATGGTTCAGTTTTGCAGGCACGGCGGGGCTAGCCTGAAATACACGACGCCTGCTGTTCCAGTGCAACAATGAATGCGCGAGGGGAATGTGGAGGAGAGGAAGAGGAGGGCGACGAGGAGGAGGACGACGACGGTGAGGAGGACGAGGAGGAGGAACGACACCAAAGCGGTCCCACAGTGGCGGCAATCTCAGGTTACAGCATGGTGCGCGTGTGAAGGCAGGCCTGGGATGAAGATGGACCGCGCCAGAGCGTTCGGGACTGCCCTCAGAGCGTTCCAGAGCGCTCTGACGCGGCCGCGGCGCCCGAAGCACCCTCTAGACCTGCCAGCGCTCAGACATTCCCGGTATGTCTTTCATCCTATGCTTTTCTCATCGTGCCTCGCCTGACGCACAGTCACGGGCGCATCATCGGCCCTGGCAGGCGATTGGTGCGCGCGGCGGCGCCCAGCCCCCTGGCCGTGCATCGCCAACGGGCGCCATGGCGGAGCCGAGCGCCTTCGGGGTCGCCTTTGCGCTCGCCGGCAGCGCTCTGCCGCCGCATCCCGGGGCGGCCCGCCCCGCCCTGTCAGGCGCCGGCGCGGCCGAGCGGGCGGGCTGGCGGGCTGCAGCCCCACCTCGGGAGGCGCAGGCGCGCGCGCCATGGGGCGCCGGCGTGCTGGCCGCGCCGGCGGCGGCCGCCGCGGCGGCGGCCCTCAGCGGCCCGCGGCGCCGGCGGGGAGGCGGCAGGGACGGCGGCAGGGCGGCGCGGGCGGCCAAGCCCCGGAAGATTTTGTATTCGGAGGACGTCGGGCGCTGCGTCGTGGGGGGGGGCGAGAAGTGGGGGTGTGATAAAGGATGCACCTTCTGTGCCCTGAAGGGGCCCAAGAGGGGCACGAAAGGTGAACGTGTCTCTCTCCCCCCCTTTACGCGCCCCCCACTGCGCAACGTGCAAGGACGGGCGCAAGGCGCTGATGAGGGGTATCGACAAGCTGGCGGACACCGTGGCGGTGACGCTCGGCCCGAGGGGCCGCAACGTGCTGCTGGACAAGGGCGAATACTCGGCGCCCCAGATCGTGAACGACGGCGTGACCATCGCCAAGGAGATCGAGCTGGAGGACCAGGTCGAGAACACCGGCGTGCAGCTTATTCGGCAGGCAGCCTCCAAGACCAACGATGTGGCAGGGGACGGCACTACGACTGCAACGGTCCTCGCCAGGGCGATGGTCAAGAACGGCCTCAGGTTTCTTTCCGGAGGCGCCAACCCTGTGGGCATCAAGAGCGGAATGGAGAAGGCTTCCAGTTTTGTAGTCGGGAAGATACAGGAGTACTCTGTCGCGGTCGGTGACGGAGACCTCGATCAGATCGCCTGCGTGGCAGCCATCTCGGCTGGTGGTGATACAGAAGCAGGCCAGATGATTGCTGATGCCATGTCGAAGGTTGGTGGCAGTGGCGTCATTTCTTTGGAGGAGTCGCAGTCCACTGAGACAGAGGTCGAGCTCACCGAAGGGATGAACGTGGACAAGGGCTACCTATCTCCGTATCTCGTCCTTGACGCAGCCAACCCAGCAGCAAAGCAGTGGGAGGCGAACGGCCCATTGGTCTTGGTCACGGACCAGAAGATATCTTTCGCGCAGAAAGAGCTCATCCCAATACTCACCATCGCGAAACAGGCTGCCAAACCCGTACTCATCGTGGCCGACACCATCGAGAAGGAGGTGTTGGCGACGCTCATTTTGAACAAGCTGCGGGGCATTGTGGATTGCTGCGCCATCCAGGCACCCGGCTTCGGAGACAACCGCAAGGCCATCCTTCAGGATATCGCGCTGGTCACGGGCGCCACGTACATCACCAGCGAGCTTGGCCGCACCTTGGAGAGCGTGGAGTTCGAGGATTTCGGCCAGGCCAGGCGCATTACAGTCAAGAAGGATTCGACCACCATTGTGGCTGACGCTCCCAAGGAAGCGCTTGAGGAGCGCTGCGCTCAGATCAAGCTGCAGATCGAGGAGACGAAGAGCTCGTACACGAAGGAGCAGCTCGAGAAGCGGTTGGCGAAGCTCGTGGGCGGCGTGGCCCTGATCAAGGTGGGCGCCACCACAGAAACGGAGCTGAAAGACAAGAAGCTGCGTCTGGAAGATGCCATCAACGCGACCAAGGCCGCCATGGACGAGGGCGTCCTGCCGGGTGGTGGCACGGCTCTGTGCCACCTCTCAAAGGACTTGCGCTCCTGGGCCGAGTCGAGCCTCGCGGGGGACGAGCTGAAGGGTGCCCTCATAGTCGCGGACGCCATGGTGGCTCCCATGATGAAGATCGCGGAGAACGCTGGCCGTAACGGCGAGATGATAGTGGAGAAGGTGTTGGAGCATTCGGACTTCAAGTACGGTTACGACGCCTTGTTGCAGGAGTTCACGGACATGACGGCGCGGGGCATCATCGATCCTGCGAAGGTCACCCGCTCGGGGATTCAGAATGCAACCTCGATATCTTCTATGATTCTGACAACCGAGACAGTGGTTGTTGACGCCCCGGAGAAGTCTGGCTCCAAGGGTGATGCCGCCGACGACGACTACGACGACGACTACTGAGACTTTTCTTGACAAGGGTGCTCGCGATGTCCATGGGCCCTCTGCGGAAGAGCCCTCTACATTTGAGAAGGACGTCTTGGTCCATCCTCGGTCATCGGGGCTCCCTTCGCTTGAGAATGGCATCCTCGCTATGCTCACTCAATTTTGTAGCGCACTTTTCGCCAGAACTTGTACAGCTCGCACGAATGCACGGCACGACCTCCCGTGCAGCTCGTCCTGCCTCGCAGAGCCTCGTTACTGCTTGAGTCCGCACCGAGCACCCTGCTGTCTGGTGGTATTGCGTGGCACGCGCCATTTTGTAGAGGTGGGGTAGGGAGGATGTTTTGAGACGCGCCGACGGTGCCGTGCTTGAGCAGCGCTTGATACCCACAAAGACTTTGCAGCCAGCGCGTGTTGTAAACATAATGCCAGGTCAGATCGTCGAGATGGCAAGGGAGTGTCGCGACAGGCAGTGGCCCGCACCGCGCCCCTTACCGCAAAGCGGCACCCCAGGTCGCTGCACACCCGTCCGCAGCGCGTCTGCGAAGCCCTCGGTCGTCCATCATCCCGTCCCGCACTCAGTCTGCAATGGCACGCCAGACCCTGGATCTCGCAAAAGTTAGCTGAGCTTCTGTTCCCCTCCTGTCACCCAAGGGAGATTTTTCACAAAGCAGAGCCCTCACCCCCAGCCGTCTCTCGCATACACGTTCCAACAGCAGCCGTCGCTTGCCAGCGGAGGGGGAGCCGCAGACAAGGCACCGTCGGATCTTCGTTCGTTGCCCTTCTGGTGGGGCGCCTCGGTCTGCGCCTGTGCTTTGTCGAGGGAGGCTGCGCCGCCCAATCCAGCCATGTAGTTCGAAATGCGTTGACATCCTGGCTTCAGGTCTCGAGCTGGCGGCACACAATCTGAGCGCCAAGTTGCGCCGCCCACCCAGCGTCGCCAATCTGACTAGCGACGGCGGATAAGCAGACTCGCGACAGCCGAACCAGCAAGGTACTCCAGATTTCGTAATAAAAGGGAGGGGGTCACAATCCTCCCAAACCACAAGTTTTAGACCCCCCCAGACCATCCATGAAAGGGCGGCACCTTGCTGAGACCCCCCCTAACCCTTCAAGACAGCTCAAATCAGACATGTACCCCCCCCTACTTTATTATGGAATCCGGAGTATCTGATGCAGCTCGTTATGGCCTCATGCGCGCCCTTGCGCCGTTCTCGTGCCTCTGTGTCCTGTGTCGTGCTGCGCCTGCCTCCGGCGGGCAGCTCCTCTCGCGGGCCGAGGCTGCCGCAGGGCCCGAGGTGTAGTCCGGCGGAGCGGGCCTGCGGGCCTCCATCGGGTCGGGCGAAAGGGGGCCCCGATGGTCTGGTACCGGAAATTTTCGGTAGCGATTTCGACGCACCCCGAATTTCGGTAGCGACCGGATCTTCGTTTGAGGGCGTTGAAATAGCGGATTTCAGAACGCTCTGATACCGGTATTGGGCGCTACATTTCGGTATTTCGGTAGCGACCGATCTCTGCGGAGCGCTACCGTAAGTTTTCGGTAGCGGACCATCAGGGTTGGGAAAGGGGGGGTTACGAAATCTGCTGCATGCAGCTGGTTTCGGCCCGACCGAGAGGCCCATCCCTCGATACATGGGCGCCTCCCGGCGCCGGGAGGCGCCGGGAAACTCAGCTGCGCGAGCCGATTCTCAACCCCCCCCCTTTGCTATCCCCCCCCTTTCGCCCGACCCAGCCGCCAGGGTGGGAGGAGCTCGGGAGGTCGACTCCGTGAGAGGGCCGTCGGGCCGATGGTTTGAAATGTCACGCGTGTGGTTACCGCAGCGCGCCCTGCGGTCGCGCCCCTGTTCTGGTGCGCAAGAGCGGCACCCCGCAGGTGATGGAGCTGCTGGGTCATCCTCCCCAGCCGCTCGTGCTCGAGCAGAAGCTCTGGTGTGCGATTGAGGGGGTATGCCTCGCCGTCTCGTGTTGTTCGTTCTTGTGTTCTCTCTCTTTCTCTCTCTATCTATCTCTCTGTGTCCTTCGGTTGTGCCTTCTGTTATGGTTTGTTCGCGTTCTCTCTTGCGCACGATTATTGTCTCTATGTGTGTAAATGTGGGTGGTTATGCCTCTCTCTCGTGTTCTCTCAGTTCCTCTGCAGGCATACCTTATGTTCATGTGTGGATCCCCCCCCCGATTTGTCTATAGCTGTATGTGCAACTACATATGTATGTGTATCCCTATATGTCTTCTCTGTTGTTAGGTGTGTCTCTCTCTATGTGTGTCTCTCCCTCTCTCTATGTATGTATACACATGTTTGTATGTACATGTAGCCTTCTCTCGCTCTCTCTTCTTCCCCCCGTTTCTTTGCCAATATTGATTATACAGTTATCTGTATCTCTATACCTCTCTTTCTCCCTCTCTCTCCCTGTCTCTCTGTGTCTTCCCTGCAGCACGGGTCCCAGCAGGCGCACCGAAACAAACTTGCCTTTTGAGCTGTCTTTCAGTAGAGGGTCAGGGCGAGTGTTATGATGGCGGCCAATGCATGCGATCCAGGCCGCCGTGAAACGGCCTGGCGTGCGCTCCCGAGGCTCAGAGCATGCAAGTCTGGTGGAGAAAGGAGGGGGGAAAGCATTGCATTGCCGAGTTGCCGAGGATTCACGGGATCGGCATCCCAGTTTCAGGCGATCGCAGACATGGACCAAGGAGGCGTGGATTAGCGACGGGTCCCGTTTCCGGGGCAAATCGCGGATTTCCGCCGCCGAGCGAGGTGGCACCGGCCGCATTTTGGGGGAGGGCACTTCCCCCGATCCATGGATTTGGCGACCGCGCGCCAAATCCATGGATCCCTAGTCCATGTTTGCGCGCCCCCGACAGTTGAGGGGATCACTGCAGAGATGCACTGTCCAGACATGGGTCCATCGTGCCCTTGCCCCGCGTTTGCCTGAATCTCTCAATGCAACTGCACCCTGGCCTCTTTCACGGCACAGCGAGCCTCTTTCGAGGCCTTTCACGCAGGCTATGCTTTTGGTCCCTACTGGTCAATGCTTGTACTGTCTGTTGAATGCGCTCTCCCCCTCCTCCCCTCAGAGCCGTGTGGACGAGTAGATTGCGCGCGAGAGCCCGTGACGTGCTGTCCTTGCTTCGACGAGGGTCTTTGATGGCTGAGTTGGGGCTCCCTCTGTGCTGAGGCCCAAGGCTGCACGCGAGACTGTCGTGCATCCTGCATGTTTGCCTCGAGGAGGCGCCTGGAGGGTGAACAGGGAGGCAAGCCTGGCACCGCGAGCGGAGCCTGTCGGCTGCGGGCGAGACTCCGCCCCCCCCCGGGTGCGTCGACGCGGCGGCGACCAAGCGCGGGCGTTCCAGGCCGAGCGCCGCCGGCGGCCCGGAGCCAGCCGACACCGGACGATCCGCGTGATCGGAAGGCCTCGGCCTTTCAGCACCGCCCGGTCTCTGGTAGGTGGTCCTTGTCAGGGTGGGGCGATCGACGCGGCATCAGGCGCTTGCGCGCAGGTCGACACGGCAGCAGCGGGGCCGCAGCCATTTCAAGGCCAAGCGGGTTGTTGGGGGGGGGAGCGCCGCTTGTCCCCCTGCGGGGTGGAGACCCCGCCCGGGCGATCAACGAGGGCGGTCCTGGACTGCGCGAGCGGTCCAGAACCGCCTTTCGGTAGCAAATCATCATGGGAGCACTGTACGGTGGGAGCGTTCGTGAAGGAATGTGCCCATGAGATGAGGCTTCAGGCATCGGAGGGGCTCTCATTGGATTCGGGCGGCCGTGGAATCCATGGCCAAGCCTCAATTTGCATGCCACCGGCTTCCGGGCCCTGCATTCTCCATTCCTTGTCCAGTTGCCCTCACCGCGTGTCCTCGGACTGTTGATTTTCGAGTGCATTGGCTTTCGTTAGCGTCCGGTAGTCGATGGGAAGCCACGTCGATTGTCGACTGGCGTCGATTGGCGTCGACCAGCGTCGGCCAGCGTCCGGCCGCCAGGGCCCGCAGGCTGGCGTGGCAGGCCCGGGTGAGTTGCCACCGCACGGATTGGAACGCCGCCGTCACCCCCGCCTGGGCGCGCCGACGACCTGCTGCTCTGGAGGAGGCGCGTCCGAGACGCCTCCTGGGCGACTCGACTGGTGGGCCTGTCTTCCACCACCACCACCATCGGTTGGAGCGGGAGGGGGTCCTCCTCCTCCTCCTCCTCCTCCTCCTCCTCCTCCTCCTCCTCCTCCTCCTCCTCCTCCTCCTCCTCCTCCTCCTCCCCCCCTGTAACTTGTGGTGGTGGTGGTGGTGGTGGAGAGCAGGCCCATCATCGGCCCCGACTCCCCCGAGAAGCGGGGGCTCGCGGCGGGCGCATGCTGATAGCGCCCCCGCCGGTGCCCAGCGCCCGCGACCTGCACCAGCCAGCCTCCGGACGCCCCGCGCTGCGTGGGATCGGCCTCGAGGAGGCGCCGGCCGCGCCGCGGGCACGGTTCGCGGAGCCCGCGCCGCAGGATTGGGCCGGCGGCAGAGGCTTGCCTGCCCACGAGAGGCACGAGGGCAATGGGTCGGCTGCGCGCAAGAGTGCCCCCCTTCGCTGCAGGATCCCCAGAGATCCAACGCATGGAAAAATCAAGACGGAGTTTTTGTTGCAGTGTTCGGCCTCGAGAGGCTCTCGCCGGGCCCCGGGACCGTCAACAAAAAGACTCAGGATGAAAAACCGGCCTTGGGGAAAGGGTCGGGACTTCCCCGGACCCCGTATTGAAAAAGCCACGACATCGGATCTCTGGGTTGCTCAACCGATCCCCACCCCCTCCGGGCCAGGGCATCTCAGCGCCACCATTCCAGCCCCCCATGGGGGAGAGGCCCCTCGGAGCCCCGAAGAGGACCGTCTGTATCCCCATCTATGAGGGTAAGTCGGCCAGTGGGGCCAAGGCCATGTCAGTGGGGATAGGGAGATCGTTTATTAAATGATGCTCATCGCTGGAGTGACTTCTGGTGCGGGCCCACAGGGGTCCCATGGGGTGTCCGCGGTTCGCTTCGTTCGGCCGCGTCGCAGTCGGTTGCATTCCGTCGGTTGCCGTGTCGTTGCTACGTCGCTGCGCTTTTCTAGGCTACCTGCGGCTTTTTGGTGATGGTCGGTGTCGGTTTCGCCGTCGGTTCGGCCGCCTTTCGGTTATGCTATCGCCGTGGACGTCTTTATAGGTCTCCCTTAGCACTGCCTTGCGCGATTGGCTTTGGTCCCCCCACGGCCCCGTAAAACCGCGAACCAAAGGTCACCGATGCCTAGGGCCACTCGTGCGGGTAGCCGCAAATGGGCACGTACGCGAGAACGGTTGGCAGACCAAGCACGCATCTGTGGGCGATCGAATAGGATCTCTGTTCAACTGCCAGACCATGAGCGACATCATCTTTCACGTTGAGGGCGTCCAGATACCCGCGCACCGCTGCGTCCTAGGCGTCACGTCGCCAGTCTTCTACCACAGGCTCTTCGAGACCCCGGTGAAGGACGACGGCGGCAGGTGCCGCATTTGGAAGATATCGCAGTTCCACGGCGCGGCAGGCAGAGCGAATACGTCCCCGTCGCCAGACCACTCCTCTAAGACAAAGAGCCCGGAGGAGCGCCAGGAATTCCACATCTACCAGTCGTCCGAGAGTGACGAGCACAGCGGGCCGAAGGAGCCCGAGGCGGTATGGCCCCCAGAGGCCACGCACCTGAAGCCGCTGGAGGTCGCCGTGGACTACCCTTTCGATGCGTTCTTCGAGTTCATGCGCTACGTATACAAGGACGAGCTCAATATCACACTGGAAAACGTGATGGCCCTGTCGTTCTTGGCGGACGACTTCAACCTACCGAGTCTCTCGGAGAAGTGCCTGGACTTCCTGCGCAATGCCGTGAGGCCGGACACGGCCCTGAGGATCCTCAGGGTGCTGAAGAACCTGCTCTGCAAAGCGGTGGTTGTACTGTGGCGCGACACGGTCGAGAGCTCGAGGATCCTTGCCAGGTTCAAGGAGTTCGGCCTCGCAGATCGCAAGAAGAGGATGCAGGAGCTCGCCGACATGGCAGGCAGCGGCAACGCCAGCGTCATCAACTCGCGCGTGACCAGCAGGGTGGGTAGCCGGCTTGGTAGCCGCGCTGGTAGCCGCATGGGCAGCAGGCCGGACAGCAGGAGAAGCTCCGCGGTGTCGGACGCGGCTTACGACGCGAAGACCGAAGACGACATGGCGAGCGCCGTCGGCGACATGTTCATGCACCAGTTGCAGGGAAAGAGCACCGCCGACATCTTCAAGCTGGCCGAAGGCGGAAAGACAATCCACCCATGTGTCGCGTCCACGTCGCTCTGCAAGCAATTCGTTGAGGTCGGCGATCTCCTCAATAAGAAGAGCTGGAAATGCATCCGGGAGCGAACCGACGTTGTGCTGGCGAGCCCCGAGTTCATCCAGGAGGAAAGAACTGTGGTCAAGCAGATCTTGTCAATGGAGATGTGCAGCGTGAGCGAGATCGCCATGTTCCGAGCCCTGCTTGCCTGGGCCGATCACCGCTGCAAGCAGCAGGGGCTGCCCAGCCTGCCCGAGCACAGACGGAACGCCGCCGGCAGCGACTTCATCGAGCTCATTCGCTTCCCCGTCATGAAGGCGGAGGAGTTCCAGTGGGAGGTGGTGCCGTCGGGGATCCTGGAGTACCGCGACATCCAGTCCATCCAGCGGACCCGCCTCGGCGCCTTCGTGAACTACAGCGACGAGCCTCGGGACAGCCCGCCACAGGAGATCGCGAGGAGGCAGGAGTCGGCGCGCGAGGCCAAACGAATCAGCTGTCGTGCCGCCTCGCCCGACGGTGGTCTGCGCCAGCCGGGGTCGCCCGACCTGTCCAAGACAGCCTCGAAGGAGTCCACCGCGAGCCGTGGCGGCAACAGGTGCAGCAGTTCGAAGCTGGTGGCATTCGGCGACGGCTTGGACGCCGACCTCCCCGACAGGAGAGTGTCGATGCAGATCCCGTCGATGGAGATACGGGGGTGGCGCGCCGCTGACATGTACCTGGACCGGAGGAGCTCAAGCGGCGGCTTGAAGGCGCATGGCCCAAAGGCCAAGGCCTCTGCGCAGGCCTCGCCCTCGTACGCGCGCCCAGGGCACCTCCGGGACGACGACCTGGACGCGCTGATCTCGGCCCGCCTGTGGAGGAACCACGTGGACGAGCTGGTGAGCCAGCAGAGGGCCCTGGAGGCGCTGGACGGTCTCGACGGCGACCCCGACAAGCGCATGGCCTTCTGCGCGGAGCCCCCGAGCACCGGCGAGCGGCCCTGGTCGCCCCCGCTGCCGCGGGGCGGCGCGGAGCGGCGCGGGAGCGGGGAGGCCGGCGCGGGCGACCTCCTGCCGCCAGCCAGCCCAACGCCGCGCCCAGGCTCCGCCGCCCGTGCCAAGAGGCGTCGGGGGCGGCCAAGATGGGGGCTGATGGCTGGGTCGCCGTGGGGAGGTGGGTCCTCTGAGGGAAACGCTTCCCGAGGTTTCTCGCCGTTGTCGTGCTCTCGGGGCCACCCACTGGCCCCAGGAACCGTCAGAAGACGACTCGGCATGACGACCTCGTGCTGGTGGGGAGGGCCCCTGGGGACGCGTTTCCCCCAGGGCTCCTTTTCCCATGCCAGCTCAGAGGGGGGGCGGCCATCTTGCCCGGGCCCATCTGACATCTCCTCGGACTTCGTGGCCCTTCTCCTCGTTTCTGCACGTCCCCTGGTCCCCCCCTGGGCCGCGCACATGCCTCGGGTCGTGATCTAAGAGCCCCCCTCTTGGACGCCTCCCTCATTGGACGCTCCCCAAGAGGAGGCTGAAGCAGGAGCCCACGATGGCGCTGCAGACCCCCCGCCAAGGCCACCCTGGCGGGCCAGAAGCGCTGCAGGCGCCGCCGAAGAAGGTCGGCCTGGACGAGCTGGAGCATCTGGCCCACGGGTTCTACCGCTTCCGCGGCGGCTCGCTCATCGAGATGCGGCTGGAGAGCGGCGACCCCGTCGTGTACGAGCACAGGCCGCCGTCCTCGAGCTCCCTCGGGCGCACACCCACGCCCGAGGTGGTGGAGCTCCTGAGCGGCATGCGGGAGAGCCAGGTGCGCTCGTCTCTCGGGATTCGGCCGCCGTCCACGGGCGCCGGTGTTCCTCTGAGCGACTTCCTGTCTGGGAACATCTAGCTTGGATCACCCAGCTTTGTCCGCATATTTCCGCGTTTCTCCTTCATGCCGTCCCCCGCAGTTGCGGACAAGGGTTGGGGGTCGGCGGGGTCGTCGGCAGCCAGCGATTCGCATAAGAAGACCAGCGCACGCTCCGAATTTTCGTCAAAGCAATGTGGGTGGGTCGCGGCGTGGGTCGCGGGTGCGTCGCGGCGTGGGTCGCGGCGTGGGTCGCGGAGTGGGTCGCAGTTGGGTCGCGGGGGGGGGTCGCGGGTGGGACGGCGACAACAACAGCGAATGGGTACCGTCAACAGGAAAAAAAACAGTTCAAGATTCTTCGCTCTTATCTCGTCTGCGAGCACAGGCCACCGTCCTCGAGCTCCCTCGTGCCCGCGTGTCATCCAACATGCACGTTGCATGTCTACCCCAAACCCTTGATACTTACCCTCGTGGTCTTCGATCGCACCCTCTGCAGATGTATATATTCCCTGCCTGCCACGCGTGGTCGGCGCGGCCATTCAACAAAACAAGAGGGGGAAGAGGAGGGACAAGTAAATGGGAAAGAGCAGAAGAAGAAGAAGGAGACAACGAGAACGGACGGGGGCAGGTCGGGAGGAGGATTGAGGACGAAGACGATTCAGCAGAAGGGGAAGCAGAGAGCAAGGAGAGCGCAGGAATAGTCTTGGCAAGCGGACGCTGACGGGGGGGCGGCCCTGAAGGGCGGGCCGGGCAGGCCCCAACATTGGTGTCGGGCAGGCGGGGCATCAAAGGGGGTGGGGGGACTTCCAAACCAGAGAGGCTGGACCCTGACGGGCAGGTCGGGAGAGCAGACCCTAACGGGCGGGTCCGGCGGGCGAACCCTGACCGGCGGGTCGGGCAGGACATCGAAGCGGGCGGGGGGGCTCCAAGCCAGCGAACGGGCGGACCCGGGAGGGCGAGTCGGGCGGGCGGACCCGAAGTGGCGGCTCGGCCGGGCGGGCCTTTACGGGCAGGTCGGGCGGGCAGGGCATTGAAGCAATTCCCGCGGCAATAGGCCTCAGGCGAGAGCACGAGTCCTGGGGGAAGTCTTGTGTGAGGGCGCGGTTCCTGAACGTCGAGGGCGCAGCGCCTTCGTAAAGCGCAAGGAAGTCCTAGGCGCGAGCACGATTCCTGAGTAAATGTGAGGGCGTCTTGAGCGCGAGTGCGATTATGATCAATCGCGATGTAGTATCCAGCGGGAGCCGTTGTTGTTGTTGTTGTTGTTGTTGTTGTTGTTGTTGTTGTTGTTGTAATTCGGAGGCCTGGGGCGCAGTTTGAGTTTCAAGACTAATCTTACATGTCTATATATTTATATATATATATATATATAAAAATATACAGATGTACGTGTGTGTATATATATATATATATATATATAAGGTTGCTAGCTCCGCGGGTGGCATCTCAAGTAAAACAACAATTGGCACCGAGGGGCGATCATCTATATATATATATATATATATATATATATATTGTTCCTTCAAGAATGAGAGCTCAACAGCACCGCCCGACGGAACGCCACTTCAGCCACGCACCCAGGGACGGTGTAAGGACTGTCAGCGCCCTTATTCTGATCGGAGGTTGGGGGGTGAGATCGAAGTGGAACGGAGAACCCCCCACCGGGAAATCGGTTTCGGTTTCGTGTTCGTGCGTGCCGTGCGTGCGGGCGAGGCGAAGCTGCGTGGGCGGGCGAGATGAAAGTCTCCTGTGGCTGTGGCGCGGCCGGACCAAATGATTCCCCCCCCGGCAAACGGGGCCGCGCGGTGTCCCGCAGGTGTCCCGCCGGTGTCCCGCTGGTGTCCCGCCAGTGCCGCACCAACAGGTTCTCCGCCCGGCAACCGGTGGCGCGCGGTGTCCCGCTGGTGTCCCGCTGGTGTCCCGCCGGTGTCCCGTCGTTGTCCCGTGGTGTCCCGTGGTGAGATCGACAGTGAGATCGATAGTGAGATCGATAGTGAGATCGATAATGAGACCGATAGTGAGATCAATAGTGAGATATATAGTGAGAGATCGATAGTGCGATCTATAGTGCGATCGATCGTGATATCGATAGTGAGATCGATAGTGAGACCGATAGTGAGACCGATAGTGAGATCGATCGTGAGATCGATAGTGAGGCCGATAGTGAGATGAATAGTGATATCGATTGTGAGATCGAGTGATATCGATTGTGAGATCGGTAGTGGGATCGGGAATGATACCAAGGCGCCCGAGAGCGAAGGATGACGTAAACAACTCGACACCAAGGCTCCCAAGAGCGAGCGGCAACGCAACAATCACCATTGTTGCCCATTGCTGGCCCCCCTCCCCCCAAAAAACCTCCTTATCACCCGCAGGGTGGGCGTATGGGTAAATGTGTATACACATACCTTTACAGTATGCACGTGTAGACCTATGTATAGAACAAGCTCCAACGAAAACGCAAGACGAGCGTCTCGGCCCCCGTTTCGTGCGCGGGCACCCTCGAAGATCGGTCTGGCCCGAGAGATGCCGCGCCAGCGTGGGGCTGAGAGATCTGGCCGCGATGTCTTCGATCCCTCTTTCTTTCGCGGACGTGCCGCGTACATTTTAATTTAGTTGGGGTGCATTGCGTTTTGCCCTCTCCTGATCTCAGGGTATATGGCGCTCCACATTTCTGTGCGTTCGTGCCCGTCTCAGTTTTTGTGGTTGGTTTGGGCACATTCTCTCTCGCCACCCCATCCCTCCTTTAGCTCTTCAACTCCCTTTGCTGTTCTGCTCCCCCGTCCGAGTCGTTATCCTCTCCTTCTTAATCGCAGCTTCCTCCTTCCACTTGCCCTTCTTTCATGGCTGCTCTACTCCCCCCTGCAGCCTTGTATGTATAGTTCGTCCGCGGATGCACCTTGTCACCGGGCACCGCGCTTTTTTTTGTATCTGTCGAAGCAAACTTTGAACATGATGTGTTTATGCTGAACGCAATGTCTCTCAACTCCAATGTTGTGTTTCGTAGTTTTTGACATGTCCTGAGGAGGACAACGATATGAGGCTGCCCAGTCGCCTGCACAATCTGTTCAATGGGCAGTGCCGTCGGAGGCGTTCGCTGGAGAAGATGGCAACACCGAGGCTGGAGGCCCAATCTCAAAACATGCACTTCAGGAACATGTTTGAGCTGTGCAGGAGCAGCACCTCCATTCGAGTCGAGGCTTGTCGTGTCAGCCGCGACTGGGTTCTCGAGTTGACCCATAGCTGCATACTTCGGCAGCTGGCAAATCTTCCAGCAGTTCGTTCCAAGTCGTGATTCAAGTCCTTCGCCATGTGCAGCAGGCCAGGGGTCAAGAGGACACCCTGCCATCCCGTGCGTGGCGCGCGCAAGAAAGATATTCCATTCTCCTCAAGCAACTCAAAAGAATCAAGATCAATTGAATCGACCCCCTGAGGGTGTGCGTTATGTTGCATGTTTGTGGGACTTTGCCTGCCCCGTTGTGCTGCTAACCGCATCGGAAACATGACGAAGGTCGAACTCGCGGGGGAAGGGGGAGGCTTCTTGGAAGGAGGCTGCTTCTTAGAAGCCGCGGGCATCGTCTATAGATGTAAGGCCAGCGCCTTCTAAGAAGCAGCCTCCTTCTAAGGAAGCCTTCCCCCTCCCCCTGCCCCCTCGAGTGCGACGCCAAGCAGAAGGCGGCGTGCTGGCTCTCGCCGCACTGGCTTCGCGCGGGCGTGGGGAGCACCGAGCGGCCATGCCCTCCATACTCCATATATCACAGCACTCCCCCGGACAACTTGCGGGCCGTGCTAGAGATCACGACCGGCGATCGTTGGCTGGTTCTGGCCTCCTGGAGCCCTTGCTGGGCCACCGGGGAAGCGATTCAGACCCAAAGGGGTTCCCGTTGCAAGACGAACACGGCGTCTGAGGTCTGGACCCCGTTTCCGGCTTTTCTCCGCTCGTCGCCTCAGTTTGTTTTGTCGGCAAGCAAAATGAAGCGGTTGGCCGATTGGACTGAACGTGGTGTCGAGCGAGAGGCCCAATAGCGGTGTGTACAGCAACGTGGCCACAGATGGGAAATCCTCAGACCTCCGAGGGGCCGGCCTGGAACACGCAGCCGTAGATGTGGAAAACAAGTGCAGCACACTCGATTGCCTGTGCTTGCGCTCTATCCCCTCCCGCGCCTCTCGCCCTGGCTGTTTCTCTACTCCCGTGATCGGACCGTCTCCACGTCCTGCTCGGACTGGGCAAGGACGAGGATAAATCCGTTCCAGAGCGTTTCGAAGTGCTCTCAGAGCGTTCCGGCACGTTCTGAGAAGGCCGCGGCGCCCGATACATCTTCCACAGCCGCCAGATCAAAGAGATGACCGATTCATCCTCAATCGAAATTATATTCGTCTTGGCTTCGTGTTGTTCTCAGTCTTCTTACATCTGTACTTAATGCTCCTCGTCCTCGTCCTGCGCATCTGGCTTATCCTCCTGTCCTCGCTCCTCCTCCTTCCCTCGGCGCCCCCTCCCTCCCAGACTCTCTCTGATCTGCCTTCCTCTGTTCCCCATTCCCGCTCCTGCCCCTCCACTCCTCCTCCTCCTCCTCCTCCTCCTCCTCCTCCTCCTTCTCCTCCTCCTCCTCCCCCTTCCCCTCCCCCATCCCCCTGGCCCTCCCCCTCCTCCTCCTCTTCCTCGTCTTCCTCCTCCTCCTCCTACTCCTCCTTTCCCTGCTGCAGAACGGCCAGCGGCGCCAGTTCTCAGTGGAACTCCCGGCCGGCCTCCACCACGATCCATGCGTCGCTCGATCAAAACCGCCTGGACATCGCGAGGGAGCTGGCTGCAAGGACGGCCAGGGCAACGATTTCCAGCCACTTCGGACACCCAGTGCACGTAGGCAAAGCGGAGGGCATCGTCAGCATGCAGCGGCAGTCTGTGGCAAAGGTGGAGGTCCACCCCACTGAGCGCCGCCGTGGGTTGCGTGGAACCTAGCCGCGATCACGTATCTTGGGACCGACCGCTCTACGATGGAGGACGCGATGCACGGCGTGTTCCAGACTGGGGTAACCAGGCCTTGGGTGGCGAGTCCATGAGCCTCGCCAGCTGGAATGTGGGGTCCCTTCTGCAACCCTAGAAGCCAACCGTCTACCGCATCACATTGGGCATCATCAGCGATATCTGCAAGTCTACGGCCATCGCTGGGCCAGGAAACTCGCTGCTGGCATGCGATCGCCCGGGAACTGGGGCGACTTTTCGCGCGCGGCCATCAGATGTTTGGCTCGCCGCCAAGTCGCGAGAGGCTTGGGTTGCGTCATGACCATCGTCGCCAATAAAATGCACCAGCTGGCCATCGCGGGCGAGAGTGTCATCGACGGGCGCGTGCTGCTCGCCACTATGCACAAACGAACCAATTGTGGACTTCACACTGCACGTCGGGAGCGTCCGCAACGTCGGCATCACCAGCCGCCTGCGTCGGAGCTGCGAGGGGAGGCCCGGGGCGCGGCTGGCGGTGACGCAGCGGGGCCCGTTGCGGGCAGCCGTTTCGTGCTGGGCGGCTTCGGCTTCGCTGTCGGCCATCGCGAGGACGTCGCCGCGCTTCCTCCGGTCGAGGGCGGGCTGCCTCGGGCGGGGCAAGGCGCAATCCCCAGTTTGCCCCCCCCCCCATGCGCCGGGGTCGCGCGGACAGCGGGAGAGGGGCTGCGAAGCTGGTTGGCGACGCCTCTTTCGCGCGTTCACGGACCTCGAGAGCGGGCGTCCGCCTTGCTGGCGCCAGGGCGCCAGATCCTCGGTTAGCATCGATCGCATCTGTACGTCGGTGCGCCCCTGGATTATGATGCGATGCTGGATTCAGATTGCGGTGCGAGGCGAGGCAGAGGAGCTTCTCTGGCGAAGCTGACAGACCATGCCCCCTTTGTTGTGCCCATGGAACTTGGAAGGGAACAGCAGGTTGCCGATGACGGCGTCGCAAATCGGTCCAAGCCCCTTCCGACCCACGCGGTGCGGCATGAACTGCATAAGAAAGTCCTGCTCGAGTATGAGAAGCTCTTCAAATTCGACGAGCTTTGGGCCCTGGCGCAGCGTTGGCCCGCCTGCCAGCGCCGCCCGGCGGCGGGGAAGGCCGCGCGCGACCTCTTGCGCGAGCAGGCCTCCGCTGACCATAATCACATGGCCATAGTGCTGCGCGCGCTCTCTCGGGCATTTTGGCGTCAGGGCGCGCGTTTTGCTCGGCGGTGCCTAGCTGATCGACGGTGGGCGAAGGATTTCATCGAGGCGCTCAACCCGCTGCTGAACCTGCGAGGCCCCCAGGCTGTGCTGTTCGAAAGACGCTGGAGCGCAGGCGGTTGGAGGCCGCGCCGAGGAGGCGGGGGCGCACGAGGCGCGAGGCGCGGCTGGCCAGCGGCGGCATGCGCGGCGCGGTGCGATGGCCCAGCGCCGCCGAGCGCGCATCCACGGCCCTGCCGGACGCCGCCGCGCTGTCGCGGCCGCGGTTGATGCAGCTGGCGCCGCGCGCGCGTCTGTACGCCGCATGTTCCAGGGGTGGCACGAGATGCCGCCGCCGCGGGCGAAGCGGTGCCCCGAGAAGTTTGCGCGCAGAGATTCCTTCGCCCATGTCGCGCCGCCCGCGCTTGCCTCGGCGCGCGGGGGGCCCGGGGCAGAGTGGGCTCGGCTACGCGACGGGGGCGCTGGGCGAGGGGCCTGCCGTCGTCACCGGCGATGGGCTTCTAGGACAGTCTCGGCGCTTCCCCGCCCTAAGGCGAGTCGCCCGACGACCCAGCAGACGGCCAGTTGCTGCGCCCAGGCAAGGATGCCCGGCCGATTGGGCTGAAATGCTGCCGCGACAAGTCGGTGGCAGCCGCGGCCGCTTGATCCATGCGTGAAATGGCGCAGCGGTCCAACAGCTTGAACCAGCACGACTTCGTTCCAGGCCGCGCGTTCGTCGGGAACGTCGTCGGCCTTGATCTCCAGGCGCGGGAGGGGAGCGCGTGGGCCTCGCCCCCCGCTAGCTGCAAACTGGCGCCGTCCCAATAGTGGCCCATGCTGATGGCTTTCAGCTTCGAGCAGGCGTTCCCGAGCGTAAGTCATCCGCGGTTCCTGCTCTGTCTCGGCGCTCTGATTATCCTCTGCGGTTTCTCTTTAATGTCATGAAAGACATGTGCGTTGTCAACATGTGTTGGTTCTGCCAGGGCGAGGAGTGCGTCCTCTTGTACATGCTGGTGGCGGGGGCGCTGGAGGCCTGCCAGTTGTCGGGCACGCTCTCCTTGGTCGCGAGCAACCTGTTCTATGAGGACATCGTCGCCACCATCGTGCATCCAGATCTCGGGACGCCCAGGGCACGCGCAGATGACGTCGGTGCCATGATCGTGGACATTCGTGGCTGGCGCGCTCTTTGCAGCTTCAAGTGGGCGGCCATCCTCGCCGGATTCCGGCTGAAACGCTCGAATCGCGTCGTCGCCCCATTTGCGCAACCCTTGGCCCCGTTGGTGGTCGAGCAGACGACGCGCATCCTGATTTGCGCATGCGCCGCTTGGCCAAGGTCATAATTGCTGGCCAGGTCGTCTATCTCGGTGCACGGTCAGCCCAATCGCGGTGCTCGAGGACATCTGGTCGCCAGTGTTTGCTATGATGTCGGATTCTGTGAATGGGTTCTTGAAGACCGGGGCTGACGCGCTGACTTCCTTGTTCTTCGGCCGGAAACGGGCGCCCCCGTCATGTAACACAACATGCAGTACTACGACGTCCCCCTGCCCGTGGCTACCCGCGGGAGATGCCAGTTTGCATCGGCGTGGCGTCTCCCTGCCAGCATTCTCAGCCATGCCGGGCGGTTCGGCATGGGCGTGCTGGGCAGCCCTGTTTTTCTAAGCTTCGAAGCGACGAGCGCTGCCACTTTGATGAGGGCGCCCCGCCTCACGATAGACCGGCGGCGCGACGGCCTCCGTCGTCTGCAGCGCGCCGTTGAGGAGGCGAGCATTGGGGACGCATGGTTCTTCACGCGACAACTAGCGCCGTCATGGTGGGAAAACGATAGCATTGCGCTGCGCTTTGAGGAGGCTGCGAAGGGCTTTGAGGGCCACCCGGAGCTCAGGGCAGGCGGGGGAGCTTGTCTCGTCGCAGTGGCCGCCGAGGCGGGGGGCAGGTGGGGGACTGGCAAAGCTCGACCCCCAAGCTGCCTCCCCGCTGCCCTGAGTTTGGCGGAGAGCACGAAGGGGGGGGGCGGAGGGCATCCACGGTGCGGCAACCTGCAACGCCGGGAGCGCTGGCCGGGGCGCTTCACCCTGCTGCTGCAGAGCGCCCTTTCTCCTGAGCCGGCTGGCGGGCTTCAGACATGCGCGTCCGTGGCCCATCTGACCAAGCGGCTCAGGAAGTGGTTCGGTGTGGAGGTGGGTGGTGGGGGCATCGATTGAGCCGCTCTGAAGACTGACTCGGGCGTCCTGCCCGTTGCATGGCGGTCGGCCGTGCTCAAAGGCTGGCTGGGCGGGTGGTGCGCCGCCGGCTGCATGAGACGGGGGCCGGGGGCAGGATGCATTTTCGGTCGTCACGGGCGCAACAGCAGCCCAATCAATTTGTGCATAGTTTGTTTCAGATCCACTGCAATTACAGCCGTAGCAGTAGGCGTGCCCGTCCCTGACAGCTGCTGGATTCGTCTCGGTTTACTGCCTCGTAGGGTAGATTCGGCTCCGAACTTCGTGTTTGCTGTCTCCTGCCATCCATTTGTTTCGCATCGTCGCCCAGCGGGCCCCAACACGGAAGGAGGTTCGGCCCGAGGAGGTTGATGAGTTGGCAGCGGCAGTTTGGAATGCAATGCGCCTTCCCTACATTGACAAACAAGTGGCCTTGTGGAGGTAAAGGTAAGTTAGCTTGTTGGTAGGACTTGTGACTTTTCTGGGCACGCTGGACCTCCTTCTCCTCCTCCTCCTCCTCTTTCTCCTCCTCCCCTCCCATATCGTCATCACATCCGTCTTCCTACTCATCATCGTCATTCATTTCATTACCTCTCTTCCGCTATCATCATCACCCACTTCCTCCGCAGCGTCCTCATCATCACATCCCCGGCTCCCTGTCTTCTCGTTGTTCGTTTGGTGTTCCTCTTGTTTTGCACGTTCTCTTCCTATTCGCCCGTCTCTCCCTCATATCCTTCCCGTTTGGCGTATGGTGGTTATTTTCCTTATATGCTTCCTATTTCAGATTTACCCTCTTCAACACTAGTTTCTCATGTTCTTTCTACCAATGGTCACCCTTCTCCTCCTTCCCCTCCCGCTCCTCCTCTTGCTTCTCCTTGTTGTCTTCCTGCCCCTTCTCCTCCTCCTCCTCCTCCTCCGCCTCCTCCTCCCTGTCCTTCCTGTCACCTTGATCCTTCTCATTGTTCTACGTCGCGGTCGTCGCTCTCCTCGTGCTTACCCTCCTTCTTGAGCTTATTCTCGCACCCATCCCATAAGTCTCTGAGGGTCTGGCCACCCCCGGAGGCCTCCAGAAGGGTGTTGCCCCTATGCGTTCGTGACGAAGGCGTTGCCCCCATGCCTTCGTTACCAGCCCAGGTTCTTTCAGTTTTCAATTCCCAACCAAACTCCTCCTCTTCCTCGCCCTCCTCTGCCGCCTGTCGCCGCTGCGGTCTCCGCCTGTACGTCACGACATCGCCGTGGAAAGTGCAAGAGGCGACGCTAAGCTTGTTAGGGGTCGGACACCTAAGTCGCTGCTGCTGGTTTCTGGGCATCAGAACGCCCTAGATTGTATTACCTTGATGCGGTAATCTTCTCGCCCACCAGGGGCGCCAGAAGTCACATCGCGGTGGGGCTGGGCGCACACTACTCACACCCAAAACTGTCCATAGGACCCCCCAGGTCTGGTGTTGTAGTGTTTGTGGGGCGGCCGCAGATAAGGCTCTTCGGTCCCTCAGGAGTAAATGCATGCATACATGGTCCAAACACATGCAACGAGGATCTCGACAGGATTGCACGAGGCTTGCAGCCCAAAGTACCGAGTCGAGCAGAGCAGTCGTTTCGCCGTTCGAACCTTCCCAGCCAGAGGTAAAGTTCAGCAACAACGGCACTTGCATCGCAACGGGGTCCACTCCGCTCCATTCCACTCCTCCCTGTGCTCCCATCGCCTCTGTCGCCGCCGCTATGCTCCGAAGTACAACCTTCCGCGCCCTGCAGCCGCTGCGGCTCGAGCCGAGGGCCGCCGAGTGAGCCGAGCTGACTCCTGCTCCGGGAGGGCAGCTCGCGTTGCGCCGCGGGGCCGCGGAGGGTCTCGTCGTATGCACCGCGTCGTCTGGTCGGCCACGAGAGCCGAGGACTTCGGCGAGGAAGTTCTGCGTACAGACGCTCCAGCGCCTCACAGGTTACTGGACTCCGAGCCCCGCGGCCCACCAGACGTCTTGGTGCCTACGTCGGGCCCCTCCCCGAGCCGCGTGTCTCCCGGGGCGGCCGCTGGGCCCCCCCGACCTCGGGCGGACTGGCTCGTTCGTGCCAGATCCTCCCCGACACCTGGCGTCCGGAACAAACAGGTCGGATGTTAGTTGTTGTGGTTGTTGTTGTGGTGGTTGTTGTTGTGGTTGTTGTTGCGGTGGTGGTTGTGGTCGTGGTTGTGGTTTTGGTTGTGGTTGTGGTTGTTGGTGGTGGTGGTGTTGTGGTTGGTGTTGTTGTAGTTATCGTTGTCGGTGTGGTTGTTGGTGTCGTTGTTGGTATTGTTATCGTTGTCGTTGTTGTTTTTGTTGTTGGTGTTGTTGTTGCTGCTGTTGTTGTTGCTTATGTTGTTGCTTTAGTATCAAAATGTGTTGAACCTCTTGGGGCCCTCGCCGGGCCCGAGCGCCGTCAGAGAGCTCCTCGGGATGAAAAGGCGGCCCCTGGGGAGAGGATCGGGACGTCGGGGGGCCCTGTGGAACAAATCAAGGCATCGCCCCCCTGCATGGGCTGGGCTTTTTCTTGCATTTCGGCTTCTAGGAGCTGGCTTACAGGAGCCTGAGCCAGAGGATGCCAGGGCGGGCCTGGCCCGAGAGGGCCGGCCGCGGGGGAGGAAGGGAAGGACCCCAGCGCAGGACCGCGCCTCGGGCTCCTCCTCCTCCTCCTCCTCCTCCTCCTCCTTCTCCTCCCCCTTCTCCTCCTCCTCCTCCTCCTCCTCCTCCTCCTCCTCTTCCTCCTCTTCCTCCTTCTCCTCCTCCTCTCCTCCTCCTCCCTCCTCCTTCTCCTCCTCCTCCTCCTCCCCCTCCTCCTCCTCCTCTCCTCCTCCTCCTCCTCCTCCTCCTCCTTCTCCTTCTCCTCCTCCTCCCCCTTCTCCTCCTCCTCCTCCTCCTCCTCCTCCTCCTCCTCCTCCTCCTCCTACTCCTCCCCCTCCTCCTCCTCCCCCCCCCGGGAGAGCTCGGCGGGGCGCGAGCACCCCTCCCCCCCCCGGCTGGCGGTGGTCCTGGCGGCCCGCCTGCGCGCGCGCGCCCGCGCCCCGAGGGCGATGGACGGCTGATGCGCTCGGGGCGGGGCGGGGGCGCGCAGGCCGCCTCGGGCGGGCAGGGGCGCGGGCGCGCGGGCGAGCCCGGCGCCCCGCCGGGCGCGGTGGGCGCTGGCGGCCGCGGCGGCAGGGCCGCGCGCGTCGGCGAGGGCGGCGGGTGGGGCGCAGACGCGGCCGGCGGAGGCACGAAGGGGTCGTGCGCGGGCCGCCGATCCCTGGGGGCCGGCTTGAGCTGGGTCGACCTGCACTTCTCATGCAATGTCTACGTATATGTACGACAGCATGTACATACGTATGCATGTATGTGGGCATGCATGTATGAATGAATGAAGGTATGTGTGTATGTGTGTATGTGTGTGAATGTATGTATGTAAGTGCGTATGTATGCATGCATGTATGTATTGTGTACGTACGTCCGTATGTGTGTATGTATGTATGTATGGATGTCTGTCTGTCTGTCTGTCTGTCTGTCTGTCTGTCTGTCTGTCCGTATGTATGTATGTGTGTATGTATGTATGTATGTATGTATGTATGTATGTATGTATGTATGTATGTATGTATGTATGTATGTATGTATGTATGTATGTGTATGTGTGTATGTATATATGTATGTATGCATACATGCATGCACGCATGCTTGCAGGCATGCACACATTCATGTCTGTATGTATGCATGGATGCATGTATGTATGCATGCATGCATGCATGCATGTATGTATCCATTCATGTATGCATGTAATTGTGTATGTTTGTATGCATGCATACATGCATGCATGCATGCATGCATGTTTGCATGTTTGCATGCATGTATACATGCATACATGCATGCATGCATGTATGTATGTATGCATGTATGTATGTATGTGTGTATGCATGCATGCATGCATGTATGTATGCCGACATGTATGTATGTGTGTATGTATGTAAGTATGTATACATGCATGCATACATGCATGCATGCATGTACGTATGCGTGTATGTATGCATGTATGTACGTAGGCGTGTATGTAAGTATGTATGTATGTATGTATGTAGGTAGGTAGGTAGGTCGGTAGGTAGGAAGGAAGGTAGGTAGGTAGGTAGGTATGCATGTATGTGTGTATATATGTATGTACGTACGTACGTACGTACGTATGTATGTATATATGTATGTATGGATGTATGTATGTATGTATGTATGTATGTATATATGTATGTATATATGTATGTATGTATGTATGCGTGTATGTATGTATGTATGTATGTATGTATGTATGTATGTATGTACGTAAGTATGTATGCATGTATGTATGTATGTATATATGTAGGTAGGTATGTATGTATGTATGTATGTATATATGTATGTATGTAATGTATATATGTGTGTACATATGTATGCATGCATGCATGGATGTCGGGTCTGTGCTAGCGTGGTGGCGCAAGCCCCAGCCTCCCGGATCTCGGCGTGGGCTTGAGCCAGGGGTAACCACATATGTCCTTGGTCACAATGCGTCCCCATGTCTCACCGTCCTGGGGCCGGGCGAGAAGCTCCATGAGGCCGACCGCGGCGAAATGCCTCCGAGAAGGAGGTCCAGAGCGAGAATGCCCAAGCACACGCCGCGATCCCAGGGCCATCTGACGGTGTGTCTTCTGCTGTGCGCGGCCCGAGTGCACTCGGCCCCCCATTTCGTTTGCTGCCTGTATCCGTTCTTGATGGCCTCGGGGCCCGCAGACGGCCCCCCGCGGCCCGATAGTCGGAGAAGAGGGCGCCAGGACCGCAGCCGCGCACGCCCATCCCCCTTGCTCTTGGGGGTCTGGGAGTCGTTTCCGTGCACTCAGGCGACGCAGGCGTGTTGAGTGGAGACCTCCACGCCGAGGCACAGCTGGCAGCACCCAGTCCGCAGGGACGCTTCGTGTCCAGCTCCCGTTGCTGGACGGAACGCCAGGACTGCACAGGACAGCCTGCGGGATGCACGGCCCTCGAGTTCTCCGCCTTCCCCGCCCAGCATCGTCTCACCCATCCCAATCCCCCCACGGGGCCATACTGTCTCGGCCCCGCCATCCCTCCCCCCCGGGTTGGGACAGGGCCCGCGAAGCCCAATGGAGACAGAATCCATTCCCCCTCACGGCGGGGGTAAACATCGGCCAGTGGGGCCAAGGCCAGGCCAGTGGGTCAGGGGCAAAAACTATGGGGGAATAGGCTTGGGGGGGGGATCATCGACCCCCAATCGCCCATTCATCGCGGATAGGGGCCCGATTAGCCCAGTCCACCCCGCCCAGTACCGTGCGGACTCGCTATACGGGGGGGTTCAACGCCGATCTACTGGTAACGGATCACCGGTTCCAGCCCGATGTTTCCCCCCTGAGCTGGTCCCCCCAGTTCTCGTTGTCCCCCCGTGGGGCTGAGGATGGGTTGCGGGATGCCCGCCCGCTGCAAGGCGCCGGGCCGCAGCCGGCGGGGGCCAACGGCCACGCGCGCGGCGCGGGCGAGGGGGCCGCTGACGCACCTGCTGCCCCCGAGGGCGTGTTCGGCCGCTACCGCGGGCGGGGCGGGGGCGCCCGAGCGGGCAAGGCTCGCCGGCAGGGGGGGGGGGCCAGACCGCCTCAGAGTTTTTTTTTGTTGGCTTGGCAGGCTCGGGCAAGATTGCTTGCATGGCGTATCCCCCCTTCGCCGCCTCTTGAAGCGGCGCGGGGCCGAAAAAGGCGTGCAAGGGAGTTCCCACTTTCGTGAACTCCAGAGTTTCTTTCGGGCCTCGCCGCGTCCCCCCCCTCCATGCAAGCAAACTTGCCATACAATGCCGTTTTAAATACATGCTCCGCGTTCGGATAATGTATTAGCATGCAGGGACTTAGTATAAAAACAACGATGAACTCATGCATACATGTATTAATACACTGACCATGCATTAAAAATCATATATGTTAAAAGATCATATGTATTAAAGACTGTCCTGTAATATGTAGGAACACTGCCTCCCAAGCGTCGTGAACAAAATCACGGCGGACCGTCTCTGGCAGTGTTCGGCCTGTTGGGGGCCCTCGCAGTGCCCCTGGAGAGGGATGGACGGCAGGTCCCCTGGAAGGGGTCCAGACAGTCTTCGCGAGGGCCCACGCCGCGAAGACATCACAGGGGGTCTGGTGCTGCGGCGCCTTGCAGCCAGCATGGCGAGGGGACTGGCTCCGAGGGGCGGGGAGGTTCGACCCGCCATCCCCCACTCCTCGACAGCGGGGGCCCTGGCGCCCCAGCCTGCCAAGGAGCGCACGGTGCTGCCAACTGAGGTCTCCCTCGCTGCCAGCAGCGCTGTCCCAGCCGCCGCTGCTGTGTTCACCAAGGCTGCGCGGGCGTTGAGTTCATCGCCGACCCCACCCTCAGCCAGTCAGTCCCTCCGTGTCGTCAGCCCCCGGGGGTGCTGGCGCCTTTCTGTCGGCGGTCGACGCCTTGTCCCTGCGGCGGGTGTCGCGCCAGGTCGGCGCAGCGGCGACGCCCAGCGTGGGCGTGCAGGGCTGCATGCCGCCAGCGGCCGGAACCCGCCAGTGTCGAGTGGTCTCCCCGTGCCCCAGGCATCCGAAGGACTAACGTCTGCACTCTGGGCGGTGTCCTCCAGCTGCAGCCTTTTCGGGCCCCGCGGCCATCAAGTGTGGATCCAGGGCGAAGACCTACTCCCAGAGCAGCGGCCGAGACCACTGGGGCCGCGCATCGGAGAAACCAGTGCTAGTGGCCACCTCTGCGCTAGTGGCAGGACGACCAAGCAGCTCACATCGCCGACAAGTCACAGACTTGGTACACAGGGGCTTTCACAATGAACAGTCAGTCAACCAAGGCCCCCCGCGAGGGCAAAGCAGCGATTTTACCGCAGTCAGGGCTGCAGCCATTTCAGCCATGAACACCATCTTTCGCCTGTTCGCTGCACGAACGTGAAGCAATACTGGGGAGCCATGCTCGCGTGGCCGAGGTGAGATCTCCAGAGGTCGTCTCCAGATGGTGCCCGTGCGCAGGCTTCGGGAGGCCCGGGAAGGGCCAGACGCGCACCAGAGACCTCGATCCTCGGCCACTCCTGGGCGACATGGCCCGTTGGGAAGATCGCCCGCTGAAGCCTCCAGGGGCAAGGTTGCTCTTTCCTTGCTCCACGGCCATGGGGGAGCCCGTCTCCAGAGAACTCCCGGGGAAGGGCCAGAATCATCTCGAAGACTTCGTCCCTCGTTGCTCCGACGGTCGGGCTGTGGTACGACGATCGAGGTCAATGGTTTTTTGTTGGTGCCGCTTTCGGGCCTCGGGGGTGTCTCTCGTCGCCGCGGCTGGTTTCGCCGCGAGGGTCTGACCTGGACACAATCGCTGGACAGGTCTTGGGGTCGATTTGCGAAGGGGACCCAGAGATCCAGCGGCCCGACAGTAACATGCGATGCGGCCCCGATGTTGCCGAGGGAGACGTATTTCAGGCTGCGGGGCCATAAGGGCAACGATCCAGGATGCAAGACAACAGAAATGTGTCGAGTGGCCCGCGGGCCCACGCATTGATCACGCGTTGTTTTGTTGGCTTGTCTGACATTTTGTTTGTTGCCCGAGGCGTCTTTTGGGGATGGCGGGACGAGGGCGCTCATAACGAGCGCCTGGAGAAGCAGCATGTGACGGGTGCATGGCGCAAGAGGATGTGGAGGTGAGCAAGACGGAAGACGTTGAGGGAGGAGGCGGGTGAACGATGATGATGATGATGCTGCTGCTGCTGCTGAGGAGAAGGAGGAGGAGGAGGAGGAGGAGGAGGAGGAGGAGGAGGCGGAGGCGGAGGCGGAGGAGGAGGAGGAGGAGAGGAGGAGAGGAGGAGGAGGAGGGTGGGGAGTATGCGGAGGGGCTTTGAGACGAGACGGCTCAAGCACGCAAACGCTTATCCAACGCGAAAAATGTGTGTGTGTGGGGGGGACATCAGGTAATCCAGCTCGCAGCATGAGGGGGGAGAGGCTGATTTGCAGGACCAAGGAGAAACATACTTGCATACGTTGCATGTCAAGAAGAGGCCGAGCAGGAGGAAGCCGAGAAGGAGGAAGGGGGGAGAAGGAGGAGGAGAAGGAGGAGGAGGAGGAGGAGCAGGAGGAGGAGGATCAGGAGGAGGAGGAGCAGGAGGAGGACGAGGAGGAGGAGGAGGAGGCGAGGAGGAGGAGGAGGAGGATGAGGAGGAAGAGGAGGAGGAGGAGAAGGAGGAGGGGGGGCAGGCGGAGCGAGGGGGGGTGGGGGCGAGGGAGGGCGGGGGGCGAGTCGGGATGACGGCACTAGGATGAGGGAGAGCGAACGCCGCAGGTAGGAGGCGGGCGATACGACGAAGGGACGAAACAAGTGCATTCGAAGGAGGAGGAGGAGGAGGAAAGGCGGAAAGACTTGAGAAAGAGAGAGAGAGAGAGAGAGATAGCAACAAATAATGAGAGTGAGAGAGACAGAGAGAGAGAGAGAGAGAGAGAGAAATAGCTACAGAGAGAGACAGAGAGAGAGAGAGATTTATACTCAATACAGAGAGATAACAAAAAAGAGGGAGAGAGATAGAGAAAGAGAGAGAGAGATAAACACAGAGAGAGAGATAATGATATACACACGTATATATATATATAGAGGGAGAGAGAGAAAACAGAAAAGAGAAAGAGAGAGAGAGAGCGCTTGCGAGAAGTGCGCGCACGTCCCCCCCCCCAAAACGGGATTGTGGGAGATGGGATGCTTTTGTGCGCGCTTCGCGATGCCCGTGTCCCAGCCCCCCCGCCCTGCCTCGGCTGCGCCGGAGAGTGAGCTCCTTTCTCGAATTCGACGCCCCGCACGGCCCCCGTTCAAAACGGGGGTGGTGGGCGGTGCAAACCCACGGGGGATCGCTCCGCGATGCTGAGCATCGCATCGTCGCCGCGCGATTGAAATATCAAGCGGAGACCCCTTGGTTATGCGTCGAGCGCGCGTCGCGCCGTGTGCGGTGGCACAGCAGCGCAACTTCGACGAAACTATTCGCGTTCCGGTCGGCGAGCGCGCCTTGCAGATTATTGGTGCGCCGCCTCGGCGATTGGCTCGGCGACGAACATGTCTGCGCTGGAGTCGGCCCGCGGCGGCATGCAGCTTCCTCGCTCGTCTGGGTAGCACGCGCGCGCACGGGCGAGGATTTGCGGGGGTGCAACCCTGGAACGCACCGCATCGCGCTGGTATCGGCACTCGCCGCCAATCCGACCCCGCGCGCTACTGAAGCGCTCGAGCGCGCGGCGGCGGCGGCAGCGTTCTCGGCAAACGATGTTCGCGCGGCGGTCGGTGCGCGGCGCCGAGCGGGCTGGCGCCTCGCTGCGCGGCTGGTGACGTGCGAGCGCGCGCGGGGGCCCCTGCGGCTGCGTCGCAACGGCGTCGCACACGCAAGCTATCGCTCCGCAGCCGCTGCGCCGGGGGGCTGGGGGCTGGGCTAGAAGACGTCAGCTGCAGCCGCGTTGTTTGCGCTGGGGACGGCGCGCGGCGCCGACCAGCTCCCTTGCTCTCCTGATTAGCATCGCGCGTTGCGTCGGGGACGGCGCGCGGCGCCGACCAGCTCCCTTGAGGTCGGCGCACGACAAGGCGCAATTTGCAGTCGCCGCGCAAGCGCCGCGAAGAGTGGGAGGGGCTGCGTGAGAAGACGTCAGCAGAGAGTGCCGCTTGGGAGCGGCGCCTTCGGGACGCGCCGGGATGCGCCGCGTGCGACCAGCGGGCGCGCGCGGAAGTGCTTTCGGGGCGCGCCACAATGCGCCGCGCGCAAATGGGCACGCGCGAGAAAACCTTCGGGGCGCGCCGGGGTGCGCCGCGTGGGCGCGCCTGGGTGCGCCGCGTGCGGGCGGGCGCGTTCGGACGTGCTTTGGGGCGCGCCAGAATGCGCCGCGAGGGAGCGGGAACGCACGGAAGCGCCCTCGCGCCAGAGAGCGCCGCGCGCGGGCCGGGGCGCCCTCAGGGCGCGCTCATGAGCGCCGCGCGCGAGCGGGCAAGCTCCGAAGCGCCCTCGGGGCGCGACAGAGTGCGCCGCGTGCGAGCTAAAGAGCGCCGCGCGTTACTGGGCGGTCACGAGAGCGTCCTCGGGGCGCGCCGGGCAGCGCCGCGTTAGAGCGGGCGCGCGCCGCGGAAGCGCTTTCGGGGCGAGCTCACGTGCGCCGCGTGCGGGCAGGTTTGCACGGAAACTTGTTCGGGGCGCGCCAGAGTTTGCCGCGCGCGAGCGGGCGCGCTTGTGAACGCCCTCGGTGCGTTTGTGGCCAGGCGCTGCTCCCCCAGTGGAATTCCCAAATTTTGATCTTGAAATTGTGGAGCTCCTTAGAACACTTCCAGATGACCCCGCGACACCGACTCGCTCAAGACTAGGGGTCTGTAGATTGTGCCACGCACAAGGGGAGGAAGGCTTAGCCCGCCTTTCGCACCCTTTGGAGGCGGGCGAGCTAACTTTCTCCGCCGGCGTAGTGCATCAGGCTCTCCGGTGAACGCTTCGGCTACTAGTCGCTCGCTGTTTGAGGACTGTCAGGACCGGCGCCCGCTCCAGAGATAGAGCAGGAGAGGGAGAGAAAGAGAGAGAGAGAGGGAAAACAACGAAACAAACAACAAACATGGAGAAAGAGACAAGCAGACAAAATGAGGAGTGACAGGACGAGGAAGGGAGAGGAGAGGAAGGAGGAGGGAGTGGACGCGGGGCGCTCGGGGAGTCCGAACTTGCCGACCGACCAGAACCACCCGTGTCGCCGAGGGTGTCGGAGCCGACTCCGAGCACCCCCCCCCCTTCCTTCGGCGCCAGCTCCCGCAGAGGCGGCGGGTCCGCCGCAGGCGGAGGCGGTGCCAGAGGGCCAGAGCCACGGCAGGAGCTCGGGTCGCGCCCCCCCCCCCCCCCTCGTTCTCGTGCGGCCCCTCCTCCACCGCCCCCTCTGCGTCCCCTCGCCCCCCCCCCGCCCTTCAAGTCGCCGTTTCATGTCACAGAGAAACGGCACCCCAAACTTCGGACGCCCAGCCGAATCGAGCTTGAAAACCCAGTTGCCCTCGCCATGCTCACTCGGGCAGCGCAGGAAACGCTAGACGAAGACAACGCGGTAGCAGTCCAGAAGCATTCGCAGCCGCCACCGCCGCATAGGCGCACACAGACGCAGACCCCCAGTCAGATGCGATGGTCCCCCCCGCGTTTTCCACAGAGAGCCGACGTACTTATTTGTTCTGTGTACGGGGTCCCTGGAAATCCCGATCTCTTTCCCCGCGGCCGGCGTCTTATCCTGACCCGTTTTTGAATGGCCCACGGGGCCCGCAGTCGCCTCCAGAGGCCGAAAGTTGCCAATTGTCTTCCGTCGTGCTTTGACGCGAGGAGGTCTGCATGGGCTGGCAGGCCGGGGCGTGAACCAGGAACAAGATTCGCCCCCGCCACCAATGTAGCGGAGGCTGGCCCTGCACCCCCGAGCCGTTGCTTGATCGTCCTGGGGCCCAGCGGGGGTCCCCAGAGGCCGAAGGTGACGACGAACTGCTTTCGTTTCGATACGCCGCAGGTCTTTGGGCGACCGAGTGCCCCCCAGAGGTCTGGAGCCCTTTCCGCTGATTCGTTTCATCCCGAGCCTTTCGAGTTGGCCCCGGGGCCCGGCCATGGGGGCCCGCACGCATACCCCAAAAATGAAAGGAGCCCCCGTCTCGAGTCTCCGAAGCCACAGTGGTCTGGCGTGAGCCCTTGCGCTCCAGATTCATGGACCTGCTGGGCTGCCTCAAACCTCGATTGGAATTTTGACTCAGCCCTCGTGGGGGGTCAGGGCTCCCCCCCCAGGATTGAGTCGGGCATGTCCCTCTACAGGAGGAATGTTCGAAAATCGTCAAAAAAAGGAGAGGGGGGACGATTTTCGACTATCTTTGATTTGACCATCTTTGAAATCTTTTGGCTATTTTATATGTTTCGTCCAGAATCCGCCTGTCGGAGGACATGCCGGGGAGGGGGGGAGGGGGGGAGCGGGGGAGGGGGAGAGGGGACAAGCTAGGTGCGCTCGCGTCATATCTGATATCCTACCCCTCCCTCCCATCCCTTACCATGGCGCAGATCCCCTCTCTACTCGCACAGTCGGATGTCGAGCAGGGCAATGATCCCGAAAGGGTACGCGATGCATTGTAGAGCACGGCATGGCATGGCGTAGAAGAGCACCGCAAAGCGTAGTATCAACCTACACGCCGTGGCATGGCACGGAAAATGACGCTAGCGCTGCAGCGGGAGCACGAATCGAAACGAGCGGAAGCGCGGAAATGAGGCCAGCGCTGCAGCGGGAGCACGATTCGGAACGAGCGGAAACTTCGGAACGAGCGGGGCCCGAAAATGAGGCTGGCGCCTCAGCGAGAGCAGCATCATTTTGACAAAAAAATTCAGGCGAAAACCCAACTCCGGGGAAATCTGTGTGTAAAAAAGTTAACAGTACGCCGGGGGGGGGGGGGGGTCGGACACTGTCAAACCGTCATCAGGGGAAGAGGAAGAGTAGTATATTCATATTGAGTAATTGTGGAGAGGGGGGAGGGGGGAGAGAGGGGAGAGAGGAGGGAGGGGCGAGAGGGGAGAGAGGGGGGGGGGAAAGGGGGGAGAGGGGGAGAGCGGGAGAGGGGCGACCTCTCCCCAGGAGCGCAGGCGCGCTGCAGCTGGCCGCCCCGCAGAGCGCGGCCAGCCCCCCCAGGAGGTTTGGGCCCGGCGCCGGCCAGGCCCGCGCCGGCCCGGCCCGGCCCGGCGCGGTGCCCGGGCCAAGGAGCCTCGGCGGCGAGCAGCGAGGCCTCCCAACAGGGGTGCGGGCCCCAGACACGGTGGCGTCGTGAAAAGATCCGGACGGGAGGTTCTTCGCTGTTTTCGCCGGGCCTCGGGTCGGTCAACAGGACTCAGGATGAAAAACCGGCCCCCGGGAAAAGGTCTGGACTTCCGGGGACGCCGCCCTGAAATCAGGACGTCGCGTGTCTGGGGCAGGCACCCA